CATTGTCAGAGGTCCCTTAGACTGCCCAGGCCTTCTAACTGAGACCCATGTTCAGGGGGTCTGAATTGGTCCAATGCTGGTTTCCCAGCTATCAGTCTGGGGTCTCATTAGCTCCTCCTTGTTCAGGTCAGCTGTCTCTGTGGGTTTCTGTAGCCTAGCCTTGTCCTTCTTCTCTGCATCTGGATTCCAGTTCATCTCAGTGTTTAGCTGTAGGTGTCTGCTTCTGTTTTTATAAGCTACTAGATGAAGGCTCTATGATGGTGGGTAAGTTAGCCATCAATCGCATTATCAAGGAAGGGCATTTATGGTAGCCTTTCCACTGTTGCTCAAATTGTCAGTTGGGGTCAGTCTTGTAGGTCTCTGGACATTTCTCTAGCATCAGTTTTCTCTTCAAACTTATAATGGCTCCCTCTTTTATGGTATCTCTCCCTCCCTCTCTCTCTCTCTGTTTCTCTCTCTCTCTTTTCTCTCATCTATTCCTCCCCTGACTCAATCTTCCTAGTCCCATATGCTTTCCTCTCCTCCTCTTCTCTTTTTACTAGCTCCCTCTCCACTCACTGCCCCCCCCCATATGTTCAGGAGATCTGGAGTTTAGACATAGAACAAAGGATCAACAGCCTATAATTAACACCACCAGAGAAACTAGGATACAAGGAAGAATCTAAGCGATTCATACAAGGTCCCTCATAGAAGGAGAAAGGAACAAGATCTCCTATTATTCTTATGTTTTATCATACTTAGATTCTTCAAAATCGTTAACTCTTTAGGTTCATTGGATTCTGTCATGGAGGATAACTGAATATAAATCAAATCAATGAAAACCTCTGACAGTGGAACCAGTATTTATCCCTAGTGAATGAATGGACTTTGTGAGGAATACTTTCTCAGCCCAGAGACATACAGAGGAGTGCCTAGGTCCTCCCCCAAATGATGTGACAGACTTTGATGATCCCCCATGGGAGGCCTCACCCTCCCTGGGGAGTGGGAAGAGGGGATTGGTGGGAGGCATGGGAGGATGGGAAGATAGGAGGGAAAGGAAACTGAGAATTTTATGTAAAATAGGATTGTAAAAAAAAAAAAAAAAAAAAAGAAAGAAAAAGAAAACAAAGAAAGAAAAAAGGAAAATAGGAGGCCCATCAAAGCATTGGTTGAGATATATTCAATTTTAATGACTGAATTTTAGAATCAAATTTAGTCAACATAATTTCCTCATCAGTATGTTTAGTTCCTTACTGTCTTTTTGTTTCCAACTCTTGTTTTTAAATTTGATTAATGCTTTCCAAATAATTTTGAAAAAATATATAATAAAGCTTAGGAGACTTTACAGAAATAGCTGATATCTGAACTGGTTTACTGGGTTATTCTTCAAAGACGCTAATAGCTCCCAAGCAAAGGTCAGCACAGTGATTAAAGAAGGGTCCCACTTTGATCCTGTTGTTGTGAGTGAAAACTTGATGATCTGTGTCCTCATTGGGGAGAATATCCAGACTGCCTGGTCACAGGTTGCACAATATCACCTCCAGGTACATTTCTACTGCACAAAGATATTCTCTTCATTAGGAATTTTGTTAACTGGGCACATTTATGGGGTAAAGCCTGCTTAGTACACATAAGACATATGTACTGTATATAATGATCAACTCTAGAAGTTAACAATTCAGTCTCCTTAAATATAAGAATTGCTCTCCTCTATCCTCCCCCGACCCAATCTTCCTGCTTCCTGGTGTTCTCCTCTCCCTTCCTTTTCTCCTCTTCTCTTTCTCCTAACTTCCTCTCCACTCACTGCACTCCCCCCCCACCAATATGCTCAGGAGATCTTGCCCCTTTTCCCTTCTGTGGGGGACCATGTATGTCTCTTTTAGGGTTCTCCTTATTTCCTAGCTTCTGTGGCCTTGTGAACTGTAGCCTGGTGATCCTTTGCTCTATGTCTAAAATCCATATATGAGTGAGTACATACCATGTTTGTCTTTTTGTTACTGGGTTACCTCACTCAGGATGGTTTCTTCTAGTTCCATCCATTTGCCTGTGAATTTCAAGATTCCATTGTTCCCCCCCCCACACACTGAGTAGTATTCCATTGTGTAAATGTACCACATTTTCTTTATCCATTCTTCAGTTGTGGGACATATAGGTTGTTTCCAGGTTCTAGCTATTACAAATAATGCTGCTATGAACATAGTTGAAAAGATGCCTTTGTTGCATGGATGTGAATCTTTTCGGTATATTCCTAAGAGTGGAATTACTGGATCCTGTGGGAGACTGATTCTCATTTTCCCGAGGAACCGCCATACTGATCTCCAAAACAGCTGTACACATTTGCACTCCCACCAGCAGTGGAGGAGTGTTCCCCTCTCTCAACATCTTCTCCAGCATAAACTATGTCGTTAGTGTTTCTGATTAGAATAGATATAGCATAATAGAGAGAACCATTATAGGGTTGAAGAGAAAGGTGGCACTAGGGAAATGTCCAGAGACCTATAAGGATTACCCCAACTAACAATCTGAGCAACAATGGAGAGGCAACTTAAATGCCCTTCCCTGATAATGAGATTGATAACTACCTTATATTGCCATCCTAGACCCTTCATCCAGTAGCTGATGGAAACACAAGCAGACACCCACAGCTAAACACTGAGCTGAACTTCTGGAATACAGTTGAAGAGAGGGAGAAGTGATGAGCAAAGGGGTAAAGACCAGACTGCAGAAATTCACAGAGACAGTGACCTGAACAAGGGGGAGCTCATGGACCCCAGACTGGTAGCTGTAAAACTACCATAGGACTGATCCAGACCTCCTGAATCTGGGTCTCAGAAGGCCTGGGCAGTCTATGGGACCTCTGACAGTGCATCCCTGGTGCAGGAAAGGACTTTGGAAGCACATTCACCATGGAGGGATACTCCCTTAGCCTAAAGACAGGATGGAGGGCCTAGGCCCTACCCCAAATGATTTGACAGATTTTGATGATCACTCCTTGAAGGCCTCACCTTCACTGGGGAGTGTATGGGGAATGGGTCGGGTCAGAGGGGTTATGGGAGAATGGGAGGGAGAGGGAACTGGAATCAATATGTAAAATAAGAAAAAAATAAAAATTTATTAAAAAAATATTAGAATTGATTAACATTCTTAGGTGTGGTAATTTTAACACATGTCTGCACCTGTGTGCTGATCAAATTAGAGATAACATTTCCATCTTCTTTTCATTACTTTGTGTCTGGAACTCATCATGTTCCTCTTTTCAGGTTACTCATAAATTCCATAACAGTTTGTCCTGAGCTATGACCTCCTCTTTTGTTATAGAATGTTAAACATTTCCACTTTATCTATGTGAGTATCAGTTTTTCAGCCTTCTTCTGGCATCTGATTTTTGCATCTATTTGAAAAAAATGAGGATCCAGATAAAGACTATGTGTTTTCTCATTCATTTCTTAATTTGCTAAAAAATTGTATTTATTATTATTATTATTATTACTATTACTATTATTATGTGTGTGTGTGTGTGTTTGTGTGTTTGTGTGTGTGTGGGTAGGTCAGAGGACAGTTGTATGAGTCAGTTCTCTCCTTCATCTATGAGCCATCTTGCCATCACTATAGCAGCATTTTAAATAAGGTTGAATGTTTCCCCTTGTCCTAAGGAACTTCTGAATACTTTGATTCTATTCGTTGGATGGAAAATATCAAATCATTATTGGAATTATCACACATGAGCTTTAAAAACATCTCCTTGTGTCTCTAGAAAACTAACTCATTTACTTCTGTGACAGAAGTTTCTTCTCCTTCTGGAGAACACATTAGTAGTTTTCACCTTTGAATTTGTACAAGAATATCTGAAATCAGAAATCAGCAATGCATGAAACTAAGAGTGGCAGTCCCTTGATTGTGTGGAATAGTCACACTCTGCAGAGTTTATCAAAGGACCTCTAAGACTTAGATGATACTGCTTCTCCAGGTTTACATCTCTGTTTTCCATGTCGTTAATGATACCACCACAGTGCACTTTTGTGGAGGATAAATGTTACCTGAAGTCTCGTTTTCAAATATACTTTTTTCCCCCTAGGAGTCTTTATACATAGTGAAAATATGGAGAAAGTAGTCTCCATATAGCACACGTCTACTTTGCCTTCTATTGATGCTGCTGGGTGTGATATGTTCCATTTGATGAAGTGACATTCAAATGACTGTTATCAGTTAAGTCTGTATTTTTTCTAGGTGCCTTCGATGACTCTTCTTGACACTACCGGCATTACTTCTATGACTTACCTAATTGTTCTATAATTGTTCTATTGTTCTATTCTCTTCTTTGTCATGAGAGTAAAGCTTATGAGCAGTTAGGTCTTTACCCTTTTTTTTTTTTTTTTTGAAAGAGGGAAGTTTGATTCTTTTTTCCTTTATTAAGAGATGTGTTAGGTATTTTTATGTAATCCATAGATTTTAATCACTTGATGTCTTTTTAATAGACAATTTTATGATGTTTATATACAACTCCAAATTTCTACTGTTTCAGTCAAGGCAAAAATGAAGTGAATAAACAAAAAGACATTTCTGCAAAGCAGATAATTTTTTTTCAGATCAAAATTTAGCTTTGACAGAGTATAGGGAAATTATGACTTTTTGGTCATTTTTCTTTATTCTTTTATTTTACATTCCAACCACGGTTCTCCCTGCCACCTCTTCTCTTGCCCCCACCTTCTGCCCCCTCACCTTCCACATAGCTCACCCCCAGTTCACTCCTCCTCACAGGTAAGGGCTCCCATTATGTCATCATAGTCTAACACAAAGGGTTGGGGCAGGACCAGGCCCCTTTCCCATGTATTTAAGGCTGAGCATGGCATCCCTCCATAGGGCTCCAACAGGCTAACTCATGTACCAGATTTGTATTGTGGTCCTACTGCCAGGAGCCTCTCTGATAGTTCAAGCTTCACAGCTGTTTCCCACATACCATAGGCTTAGTTCCATTCCCTGGAGTCTCCACTGTTGTAGTTTTAATTTTCCCGAGTTTCCACAAAAATATCGAATACTTTACAAATTTGCATGTCATCCTTGCACAGGGGCCATGCTAATCTTCTCTGTATCTTTCCAACTTTTGTATATTTGCTGTCAAAGCCAACACTAGTTAGGGGTTTATTGCTGCACTGAAACACTACCACTCAAAAGCAGGTTGGGGAGGAAAGGATTACTTGGGCTTATACTTCAGCATTGCTGTACAAATCACTGAAGAAAGTCAGGGCAGGAACTCACACAGGGCAGGATCTAGGAGGTAGGTACTGACTTGCTGCCCATGGTTTGTTCAACCCACATTCTTAGAACCCAGGATCGGCAGCCCAGAGATGGCACCACCTACCATAGGCTGGGCCCTCCTCCATTGATCAGTAAATGAGAAAATCCCTTACAGCTGGATGTCATGGAAGCATTTCTTCAGCTGAGGATTCTTCTGATGACTCAAGCTTATGCCAAGTTAGTACACAAAACCAGCCAGTACAGAGATTAAACCTTTTGTTTGTTTTAGTGAGTCTATTGGTGTCAGAAGGGTTTATTGCAGAATATAAATGCATTACAATTTAATTAAAATCTAACTTGTAAATTTGAACAGCATGAGAGCTTACTGAATTGCTGAAGGCAGAGTACTGAATACTCAGGTGTTCAGGGTCAGGACAACTTCTTGTTGCCCTCTGTGCTTGCTGCCTATAATGTCTCAGCTTTTTTGGACACCAAAGACAGAAGTTGTCTGTCTCCTTCGTTTTTGTCTGCATCTCATTGTTTTAGAAGCAGGAAACAGAACCTCACAGTGCACAGTGAACCTCAGTAAAGGTTTGACTGTACAACACACAGAGGGGTCACTTCCACTGTTAAACTCACTGTCACACTGTGTGGCTGAGGGAGCTGAAGTAAGGGAGGCTAGATGTTGGCTCTTGCACATAAAGCTGTGGTGGTGCAGGGTGCATTGAAGTCTGGCTGAGCTCTGTTATACATAATGCAGTCTCTTCATCCATGACGTCAGAAGACACCAGTGCCTCCTCTGACCCTGTAGCACATTGCCTTCCGTTCTTTCTATTTTACTGTTTTCATTGGCAAACTCCCAGTTCTAAATGTCACTGGTTTTGAATAGGAAGCCATTTACAAACTGAGTTCTTCCTATGTGATTAAATCTAGTTAATTTTCTTATCTTCCAGTAACTTTGCATGTTTAAATTTTTGGGAGGATGAGACCCACGTAAGTACTTAGGTATTTAGAATATGTTGAAACACATCTGGAGTTTTAATTGCCAGAGATATATTTGAGTGTGGGGCCCTGGATGATAATTTGATTTAATATTTGGAAGAGATCTTCCTTTGATCATTTAGCAAAAACAAAACAAAACAAAACAAAAACAAAAAAGAAAAAAACCCCAAAACAAAACAGAGACATGGAAGCCCAGCTCCCTGGAATGACCCATCTTGTTGCCTCAAGTAGTTAATGCTCTTTAGGTTTATATTTATTTTGTCTTCAACTAGAACTGCGTGAAGATTGGTAATGCTGGCTGGTTTTGTGTCCATTTGAAACAAGCTAGAGTCATCAGAGAGGAAGGAGCCTCAGTTGAGGAAATGCCTCCATAAGATTCAGTTGTAAGGCATTTTCTCAATTAGTGATCAATGGCAGGACCCAGCCCATGGTGGGTGGTGCCATCCCTGTGCTGGTCATTCTGGGTTCCATAAGGCAGCAGCTGAACAAGCCAGGGGAAGCAGCTCCCCTCCATGGCCTCTGCATTAACTGCTGCCTCTGAGATCCTGCCCTGTGTGAGTTCCTGTCCTGACTTCCTTCAGTGATGAACAGCAATGTGGAAGTATAAACCGAATAAACCTTTTCCTCCCTGCCTTCCTTTGTGGACACAGAGTTTTGTCGAAGCAATAGAAGCCCTAAAATGGGAGTAGTTAAAAGATTATTCTGATCATGCCATCTCCCCCACTGGTTCTTTCTGTGGCTTCTGGTATTCTTAGAACTATCTTCCATCCCTGTCTTTGGAATGCGTTCTGATCCTGCAAGCTCTGATTCCTGCTAACTTCTCCACTCCTTATTTGATGCTGAAGGAGTGATACTTCTCCTGTTCCCACACTCTCTCCCTGGAGCATTGGCCTCCTACTCTTACCTAGTTGGATCAGGTTTTTTTTTTTTTTTTTTCTTGATGTGATGTAAAGACCTGGTTCCTGCCTGGAAAACAACACTCTGGAGCCAGACAAACTGAGCTGGAAACTTTTTTCTTTATTTTTGACACTGTAACATATGTAATCCAGTTTGGCTCCCAACTAATAATATAGCTCAGGATGCAGTGACTATTCTGATCCTCCTATTATCACCTTTTGAATGCTGGGATTATAGGTGTGTGCTACCACATTCAGTTTATGTGGCTGAGGATGGAACCCATGACTTTGTGCACCTTAGAAAAGTCTGTGACATAAGAAATAGGATAAATGAGGATTCAAGGCCATTCTGATATAATAGTTGATTATGCAGCATACACATTTTCTACCAGTAGTGATATATTTTAATAATTAATTTATGTATATATCTTAATATAAATTACTTCTAGAACTTTGTATGAAGCATGATCAGAAAATAGCATAAGAGAATTCATGTCAATATAATTTGTTCCCACTTTAGACATTTACAGAAAGCAAAGGACCTGTTGAGACTTCTGCAACTGAATGTTTCGCTGTTGTGCAGTTAGCTGGTAAAAAAAGGACTCTAGGGAATGATTTTCCTGACATATTCCCATCATATAGTGTATTTTTAGATTTTGTACCCTATTAGTCTAAGTCATAAAGACATGAGTGGTTGTGTTGTACATTGACATTGCTTATGACAATCACATAGAAGAGAATTTTGTTGTTGATTTACTATTGTCTAATAAAGCAGATCATTCTTGCAACTATAATTTGTTCTGAGCTCTAATGGGAGGAGTGAAGACAGGTAGGAGTATCATAAATTATCTTATAAAGTGACTTACTGCCATGTTATCAATAATGCTTAACTTGAACAATTTTTAAGAATCATGATTAGCCTCTGAGTAGATTCAATAATTTAGTTAGAAGAAAAGGTCCCATGGAGTTTAAAACAACATGAACTTTTTTTATAACTCATGTAATATAGTGTTTCAAGGTTCTGTTGATTAATTTTGAATCCCATTTCTTTTGGCATTGTTCAGGTATTTAGCAGAATTGAGAAGTGATAGGATGTTAGCGATTAATTATGAGGTTGCTAGCACAAAACAGTATTTCAATTCTGACATTTAATCTTTATGTCCTTGGGTCCTATGGGATGTCCAGGCATTTGTAGTGCCAAGCACCACAGTTAGTGAAAGAAGCAGAAAATTATCATGATTGCACATTTAAAAAAAAAAAATGACACCAGGGAACCAGTAGGGTTAGTTTGTCCTGGGTCTTTATTCTGGGCTTGTAGCTGCTGTCTTCACATGTTCTTCTCTTTGTATATGTCTGTGTCTAAATATCCTCTTTCTATAAGATCACTAGTAAGATTGGACTAGAACTCACCATAATGATATAATTTTAACTTAATTCCTTCTTTAAAGATTCTTAAGTACAGATAGCTAGAGTTTGAGTTCCTGAACTTGGGGCATTGGGAACATTAATTTATCTCACAACACACCCTTAGTTCTGCCTGATTTGCAAAATGCATTAATAGAAATACTTTCTGTTGTTATTGTGAACATCCAATAGCCGATTTGCTCAAGATGTGTGACAGTGAATTTGGGTCTAGTAAGTAGGCATAAAGAGAAGGAGGCACTTCTGTATTATAGCCACATCTTCTCTTGATTGATGGGTTGCATCCTTTGACATCATTCATCAGAGACCAGACAGTTTGGTTTCCTTTCTGGCATCAGTGGAGAGCCAGGCTTTCTGCTTTTATCACAATATGTGGCTGTGTGAGACAGTAGTAGAGTACTTTGCTCTTTTCAAAGCAAAAAAGATTTATTCTGATACTTTCTGCTTACCTTTCTACCTTGCTGCATTCCTTCCTGGTGTAGATAACGGTGACTTTGTAAAAAGAAACTTAGATTAATTACCCTGTAGATAAACTTTGTTAGAAGAATTATAGCATCACAGTCTGTAGTGTAAGGACAAGCATTCAGGTGCAGATAAAAACTTCATCATGAGAGGCAGCTATCAAGGACAGTGATGGGTTCCTGAAGGGACAGAGCATTCATTTCTCTTCAGGCCTGAAGGACGAGGAAAAATCCAGCACAATGGGATGTTGGAAGCAAAGATAGACCTTCAGGTTTGAAGAACAAAAGGTGATTTCTTACTCTCATATGATTTCAAGGGCAGGTGGAGAGGTGGATAAGTTCCATACCGTGTAACCCAACCTAGATGTAAAAGTCATAAGACACTGATAAAGTAAAGCAATAATTCAAGCTTGTCTTGGGTCTAGGAACAGATGGTCTACAGCCGCCAGAGGGAGAGCTTGAACTCTGGGAGAACTGTAAGGATGCTGAACATCTCTTTCCCAGCTTTGTCTAGGGAGAGAGCCTGTAACCTGACCAACCCTTTCTCCCCTGTCCCCATCAAACTTTAGTCCGTGTCCTTCTTTTGTTCATTTTTAACTAAAATAATAATAATAATAATTTACAATTTAGCTAGAATGGACTTGATTGAACTCATGGTTCCCTGCATTAACTTCCAAAGTTCTTCTGACCTTTGTGGGTACCAGGCATGCATGGGGTGCACAGACATACAAGAGAGCAAATCACTCACTCATATGTATAAAATCATAAATGACTACATCTAAAACAAACATGAAAATGTATTGCCCTTGAGAGACTCTAGGATGGAGAAGATGGTGTGAGATCTGTGTTTAGGGTGTTTGAATGATCCGTGGTCATCATACTGTTGTCCATATCTAGGTGTTATGGATGACTGTGAAAGGATTGTGAATTTGCCTCAAGTAATTTTTGACTGACCACAAAATAATAACTATATGCATTCTTCTGAGTTCAAGGATTAACACACATCTTGTTAGGGACTGGAAAACACAAAATATTGTAATTAGCTTACTATTCTCTAAAGTTGTTTACTATTTCAATTTTTAGCAAGTACAATGAATAATCCTTCATTCTAAATTCATTTCCTGGGCTGGTACTGGCTTTTCCAGTTGCCGTCTTCTGCCATGGAGAACATACAGACTCTCTGCCTTCTCTTTATCTTTATTACAGACCGATATATGGATTTTCAAATCCTTCTTGTTTCTTATTTAGTTATCTTTCTCATCCCTATAAATTTTCTGTTTTACTTTTAAACTGATGTCATTTAATTTTAATATTTTTGGCAGAAAAGAACAAGTTAGTACCCTGTACCAGAACATCAATCTTGTGGAGCCAAGACTAATCCAGCCATATGAACATGTGATAAGAAACTTCCTCCGTGAGATCAAACTCCAGAGCACAGAAATGGAAAACTTGGCCATTGCAGTGAAGAGGTATGAGTCTGCTTCCTTTCTGAGGACACATAGCATCCTTCTACTTGTTCTGTGACCAGGGGGTGCAAAGGGACTGAATACACAGCCGTGTTATGATTAAAGTGGACTTCCTGAACGTTTGGAATACAGAACACACAATGTGAGTCGTGTCAGGTAGTAATTGCAGGGTCAAACAGCAATCTGTTGGTCAACCTATGTTGTCAACTCCTCCAATCTGACAATTCCACCCTGAAAAATTCAGAATGTTTCTTCTCTCCAGTCACTTGACCAACACAGGAAACTATTCTAGAGATGAAGGTAGACTCTGAAGCCAAGTCAGGCAAAGACTTTGCCAGCAGATTTCCTATACTTTCTAAGTCTCAGTCCTGTGTCTTCAAAAGAAGGATGGAGATGCATCCTTTGAGGTCATGAGTATATTATACCTTTGGGTATAATATAAGACTTTTTCTAACAGATATTTTGTCTCTGGAGACTAATTAGAAGCAGTTGCTGAAATAGGTCTTTCTTGGCATTAACTTCAGCATATACAATTGTGAAGTTTACATAACAGAATTTAAATATTATATCTGTCTATTACCATGAAGTTCTTTCCTTTGTTTAGGTTTGTCACTCAGTTGTGGCAACAAGGTGTTCACATTTGCTGACATTGTTCTGGAAATTTGCTGTCTTTAGCTATTGTTTATCTCAGGCTAATATTTAATCTATTTCAGTTGTATATAATCCTGTTTTACATCCAAATAGTCATGCTGGCAACCTTAGTTTATCACATAGAAGGATTTGGAATTTGGAAATATTGTGTAGAGTATATCTTCACTTATATAATGGGAAGCCTGAAGTTGATGAGTTTTGAGTTTCTCTTCACACTTTCTTCAGTACAAGTATACAATGATTTTTTTTTTTTTAATTTCAGAGCCCAAGACAAGGCAGCCATTCAGCTGAGTGAGTTGGAAGAGGAAATGGATCAGAGAATTCATGCAGTGGAGAATGAGACCCGGAAAGATGTGAGTTTGTGGATTGGCCATTCATTCATTTACTTCACAGATATTCAGGGAGCACCTTTTATTGTGTCACTCTCTTAGTACCAAAGCTTGGGGACATTAGGCTTCACTACCTAGTACCCTAAATAAAAATATCAACCTTCTAGATTTTGACAGAGAAAGGATTTTTATAACCAGAAGTGTTTTGTATTCATGATTTAAAGAGAAACAGAGATTGTAATCAAGTAAGTTGAGGATGTATCTCTTTAGTACTGGTAAGTATAGCATAAGCCTCATGTGAGTAGGAAAGGTGTCAGTTTGCTTGGGCCAGTAGAGGTCTTTGTGAAATGCATGACATGCAGTGGAGGACTATAGTCAGATTTGGTGAGAAGATGGCTGAACATTTACCTGTATATTGATCTCACTAACCAACTTTAAATCTTGATTGCAGTTAATTTAAAATCCTATCTCCTTCCTGGAGTGCTTTATGATGGAATCTTTTTTTCATTCATACTCTTAAATTGAAAGTTACATGTTCTCTTTAGTGATTTTCTCAAAGGAGGCATGTTTTTAAGTATAAAATATATTTGTGCAGCTGAAACCAGACAATATGCACATTTTTTTCAGTAGGTAATATTAGGACATAAAATGGTATTTTGGTGCTGAGAGACAATAAAAATGCAGAGCCCAGTACTGGCATTGAACAGACATAAATCTATGTTCTGACTTGTTCCTTACCAAGTCCAGGTGGCACTAGTGAAGTATTCTCTCCTGTGAGTCTGTGCTCTGCCACCTACCAGCCTCAAGTAGGATTAATCATGGCGATGTACTGAGAAGTGTTGCCAGTGATAGGCACTAACATGGCAGTTACTTTCTTTTTCTGTGCCTTGTTTGTTTCCTTCCAGATAATTTATCTTACTTGTCTTTACCACACACATCAATCCCTTTAGGAATCTTTGTTGTCCTATTTCTTTAAAAATAATCTTATTAATTCTTTGAGAATTTCATGCAATGTTTTTTTTTGCTTATATTCACCATTCCTCAGCTCTTCCCACCTTTCTCTACCCACCCAACTGCATGTTCTTCTCATTTTCTTTTCATCCTGTGTTTGTCCAGTTTGTGCCGTCCAAACTCCTGGTAGGCCAATGGTTATTGTAGCTCAACGTGTTCACATGTGGGTGAGACAGATGATTACTATTTGATGCTGACAGAGTTCATAGCACTTTCCATACAATGAAAGCTAGCTGATAAAACTGAAGCTTCCAGGTCAGTACTTGTTTGATATCTCTGTGTTTTGAGTTCAAATATGCAGTGTCTTTAGCAGCAAATTCCTACCACCATGTTCTGGAGAGTAACCAACAGCATTGGTAATAGCATGTAATGTGTGTGGAGTCTGTAGCAACAGAAAAGTACTGGAAATAGCATGGGGTGTGTGTGGGGCCTATAGAACTCCACTGGTCAGCAACTGAAAACAGGTAATCCATTCTTGGCCCAGGGGTTCTTATTTACAGTATTGCTGGCTTATTGGGGTATTATCCCTTTGCTATAGCAAAACTCCATTTAAAAATTTAAAAGATGAAATAATAGGTATGGAATCTTCTACAGTAGCAGCATTGTTTGTCCTGTCTCCTAATTACCAGTGTACAAACCCTATGGATGTTATATTTAACTGGTAGCTGTTTTAGGTCACATAGCTTAGCATTGGTGCAAATGGTTTTTCCCTTTTTACAGCACAATCCTTTTGTGCTTAGAAATAGTAAATTCATTTTTAGTCTCCTTTAAAACTTTCTACCACTGTTTAATCTGCTTTTCTATCCATTTATCAAACAATTCTCATGTACAATGACCAATTCTCATTGCTTCCAGTGCTGCCCAGATCAGTTATGGGTAATGGAGATATTAACATGACCCCCACCTCTTATTTATGCTTTGCTAATGATAATAATTTCTTACTTTCCTGGCTTTAGTCTAGAAGTAAAAAAGAAACCTACAGCTTTTCTGTATTGTGGCCAGTTGGTTTCTATGCATATATACCCTGAGACCTCAGTATGCCAGTCAAGGACATTACTGGCAGCTGAACGTTTGCACTCTGGGAGGAACCCTGTCTGCTAGCCCTTCCCAATGCCAACTCATACGTTTAATCTGCTTTCTTTGGAATCACACATGAGAAATTCTCTAGCTTCCTTTAGTCAGCATGCCATCCTTTAGCTTCCTGGGCCTTCATCTTGTATACTATTTCCTCAGTGGCATCATTTCATGGCTTTTGAGTCTGATTTTAGTTCAACTGTTTTCTTTGTTGTCTGCTGTCATGTTCAGTCCGATTTTTTTTTTTTTTTTTTTTGCCATGGTGATTTTTTTACTAGATTTATTTTCTACTTCCTCAATCTCAATTTTGCAATGTTGAGTCTCCACCTTGCATTATTTTCTCACCTAGTTCTCTAGCCAAGTGAGTTCCACCCATGAGATTTTTTGTACATGGAATGCACATTGCATTGATATAGTTTTTTTCCCCTCTGTAACAACTTTAGTGACTTACAATTTGTATTTAGTAAACTGTACTTTTATAAGTTTTAAGAATATAGTTAAAATACATATATGTATACACACACATATATATATACATAGAATTAAGTACACACACATATATTTATATATCTATTTATTTTAGATATAATGCTGTTGGCTAGGTATTAGTTTCTTTCTTTTTTTAAATTTATTTTATATAACCAAGTCCATTTAAATGAAAACAAACATTTATAGACAATTTTGGGAATTTGGGCATCCTTCTTTCCAAACTACTTCCTGCTGGTAAGGGGAGCTGTCATGGGGGATTCGAAGAAGATGCAGAAATCATGGCTGTAATCTGTAAGGCTGCTTTGTCCAGCTGGTTTGAATGTAGGATCACCTGGTACTCTGTTCCAGGTGGTCTGGCTTGATCAAACCAAATTAGTCTGGAAGGAATCCATATCTTTTCATTTTCTGTGGAAACAAAAATAGAAATCCTTTTCCCCAGTAACTTGTCCTTGAACTTAAATTTTGGAGTCAAAGCATTTTTTTAAAATTTAATTTATTATTTTACAAGTCGATCCCAGTTCCCTATCCCTCCCTCCCTCCCTCCCTCCCTCCCTCCCTCCCTCCCTCCCTCCCTCCTTTCCTTCCTCCCTCCTTCCTTCCCTCCCTTGCTTCCTCCCTCCTTCACTCCCTTTTACCCTCTCTGCCCTCTCACAGGCACTCTAACCACCCTCCCCTCCTATCCCCCCACCCCAATTCCATATGTAGGGGAATGCCATCCAGTTGGGGTCATGTAGATCTGACAGGTCATGTGGAGTAGAGACTAGGGCTTCTCTTCTGTCTCTAGATTAAGGCAGTTATCCCTCCATGGGGGAATGTGTTCACAAAGTCATTTTGTGCACCAGGGATACATCCTGGCTCCACTGTCTGAGGTCCCTTAGAGTGCTCAGTCCTTCTGGCTGAGACCCATATTCAGGGGGGCCTGAGTCAGTCCCATGCTGGATTCCCAGCTATCAGTCTTGGGGCCCATTCCCTCCTCCTTGTTCAGGTCAGCTGTCTCTATGTGTTTCTGCAACCAGGTCTTATCCTCTCTGTCTTCATCTGGATTCTAGTTCAACTCAGTGTTTAGATATGGGTGTTTGCTTCTGTTTCCAACAGGTATTAGATGAGGGCTACATGGATAACTCAGTTGTTGATCTCACTATCTGGGAAAGGCATTTTTGGTAGCCTTTCCATGGTTGCTTAAATTGTTAGTTGGCGGCAGTCTTGTAGGTCTCTAGACCTTTCTTTAGGTTCAGTTTTCTCTTCAAACCAATAATGGATCCCTCTTTTATGTTCTCTCTCTCTCTCTCTCTCTCTCTCTCTCTCTTTTGTCTTCTATTCCTACCCTGACTCAATCTTCCTAGTCCCATGTGCTTTCCTCTCCTCCCCCCTCGTTTTCTCCTACTTCTCTCGCCATTCTCTGCCGCCCCCACTTCCCCTGTGCTCTGGGGGACTTGTCCCTTACTAGTTCTGTGAGGGACTTTATATGAATCTCTTAGAATACATCTTGTATCCTACTTCGCCTGGTGGTGTGAATTATAGGCTGGTGATCCTTTGCTCTATGTCTAAAATCCATATATGAGTGAGTACATACAATGTTCCTCTTTTTGTGACTGGGTTACCTCTTTCAGGATGGTTTCTTCAAGTGCCATCCACTTGCCTGTGAATTTCAAGATTCCATTATTTTTTTCTGCAGAGTAGTATTCCATTGGGTAGATGTGCCACATCTTCTTTATCCATTCTTCAATTGAGGGGCATCTAGGTTGCTTCCAGGTTCTTGCTATTACAAAGAATAATGCTATGAACATAGTTGAACAGATGTCATTGTTGCATGGATGTGAATCCTTTGTGTATATGCCTAAGAGGGGGATTGCTGGGTCCTGTGGTAAACTAATTCCCATTTTCCTGAGAAACCACCATACTGATCTCCAAAATGGCTGTATGAGTTTGCACTCCCACCAGCAGTGGAGGAGTATTCCCCTTTCTCCACATCCTCTCCAACATGAGTCATCATTGATGTTTTTAATTTTAGCCATTCTGGTAGGAGTAAGATGGTATCTCAAAGTTGTTTTGATTTGCATTTCCTTGATAGCTAAGGATGTGGAGCACTTTCTTAAGTACTTTCAGCCTTTTTGATTTCCTCTATTGAGAATTCTTTCTTCAGTTCTGTACCCCATTTTTTAACAGGGTTATTTGGTGTTTTGTTGACTAGTTTCTTGTGTTCTTTGTATATTTTGGAGATCAGCCCTTTGTCAGATATAGGATTGGTGAAAATCTTTTCCCAGTCTGTGGGCTGCCGTTTGGTCTTGTCCACTGTGTCCTTTGCCTTACAGAAGCTTCTAAGTTTGAAGAGGTCCCATTTATTAATTGTTTCTCTCAGTGTCTGTGCCCCTGGAGTTATGTTCAGAAAGTCCTCTCCTATACCATTTTGTTCAAGGGTACCTCCTACTTTCTCTTCTAAGAGGTTCAGTGTGGCTGGATTGATGTTGAGGTCTTTTCCATTTGGACTTGAGTTTTGTGCATGGCAACAGACATGGGTCTATCTGCAGTCTTCTACACACCCACATCCAATTCTGTCAGCACCATCTGTTGAAGATGCTGTCTTCGCCCCATTGTATAATTTTAGCTGTTTTGTCAAAAATCAGGTGTTCATAGGTATGTGGGTTAATATCAGGATTTTCAATTTGATTCTATTGGTCTACCTGTCTATTTTTATGCCAATACCAGGCTGTTTTCAGAACTATAGCTCTGTAGTAGAGCTTAAAGTCAGGAATGGTTATGCCTCCTGAATTTCTTTTATTGTCTAGGGTTGTTTTGGCTATCCTGGGTCTTTTGTTTTTCCATATAAAGTTGATTATTATCTATATGTCTATATATTAAAACTGTCTTTACAACTGTGACACTGGGCTTTTTTCTCATGTCCCTTTGTTATGTTGTTCATTTAATATCTTTGGCAGATAACCACTCTTTTTTTTTGTCATAGATTTGTTTAATGTTTTACAAACTGTATATGAATGAAATATTGCAGTATGTGCTATTTATTCCATGGCTGCTTTTGTTCAGCATAATTATCATTAGATTTAGCCATGTGTCAGTACTCATTTACTTTATAGTAATGTTGACTTCCATTGTGTAATATGAAACATGGCATGTATTCATGCATCTGTTGATATTTGAGTTCCATGCAGTTTTTAACCACACAAGATGATTTGAGTATTTATATATGAAAATTTATGTATGAAAATACTTTACATTTCTCTTTAGAATTCTAAGAATGGACTAGACTGATCTCCTCTCTGCCTATATGTTTCTTTTTGTAAGAGACTGGTGTACATTGTATAGGTAAGAGTGACAGTTCTGTCTGAAGATCTGGATCGCAGAACCTCAGATGAGAGAGAGTATGCACATTTTTCTTTCTGTGTTTGGGTTACCTCACCCAATATAATCTTTTATACTTTCATACACATATCAGCAGATTTCATGATTTCACTTTTTGTTACACATGAGTTGTATTCCATCATGTATATCAACCACATTTTTATTATTCATTCATCAATTGAAGGGCATTTAGGTTGGTTCCTTTTCTGACATATTATGAGTAGAGCATCAAAACACATGGCTGAATAATATCTGTGGGGTCAAGTCCTTTGGACATATGACAAGGAATGGTATGGGTTATGGTAGAATTATTTTATCTTTTTGTTATTATTCCATACTGATTTCCACAGAGACTACACCAGTTTGCAATCCCAACAACAATGAATGAAGGCCTCCCTTTCCTTGTATCTTCTGTAGCATTTGTTGTTAGTTGTTTGTTGTGTTTATCTTAGCCATTTTGATTGGGGTCTAATGAATTATAGTTCCCAAGTTTCTAAAGATGCTAAACATTTTTGAATACTTACTAGTTATTATTATTATATTTTTTCAATTTTTGAATGTCTTTTTTCATTTGTCTTAAAGTCTGAAGCAAAGCAACAAAGGGGCCCTCATTGTCTCCTGAGCTGACTTTTTGTAGTATTATGGACAGGTGAACCTTTACTCAAGCCATCACCTGACTACTTTGGGACCTGCATGTTTGTTCAGTAGTCCTTTACCCTTAACTTTGGTATTTGATTTGTCTTTGTTTAGTGAAGCTACTTCCAGTGCAAAGGGGTTAAAAAGTAGATTTACTTTTTACTTTGTGTGTATAAATGACTTGCTTGAATGCATTTCTGTGCACTGTGTGCATACCTGGTGCCTATGGAAGACAGAAGAGGACATTAAATCCTCTGGAACTAGAGGTACAAATGGTTGTGAGCTGCCATGAGGATGAGGGGAACAAAACATAGGTCCTCTGCAAAAGCATACATGTCCTTAGCTGCTGAGCCCCAAATAACCTAGATTTTTTTTTTTTTTTTTGATGTCTATGTTGACTCTATAAGAATCACCAGGGAGATAAAAGCTAATTCTAAAAACCAAATAGCTACAGGGTTTGTATTGGCTATATTCTAGTGGTCAGCAATAGGCAAGAATGTAGATTGAAATGACTGTCATAATTAACAAGGATTTATCAAGTATGCCAGGGCTGACCTTAAATGAATACCTTCAGCTGAATGACGTGGGAGGCTAGGCTAATAATATTTAGTGACACTAATAAAGCAGAAGATGTTTGTGACTAGCAAAAATACAGCTTTTAATAAGATAATCTCCAATACCCTTCAAGGTTTAAGACCCTTGCTAGTGAATTAACAATATCAACAAAAATAATCAAAACAACCTGAAAATAGAACCTATAAGAGCAAAAAAGAAAAAAGTGGGAATTGAAAAAAATAAATAGCTGTGGTCCCTTTTAAGTATTGTGTACACTTAGAGTTAACCAAATTATAGGTAAGTGGAGGAGATGGTCTTCTCACCTCTAGATGTCCATGGCACCTGTTCATATCAAAACTTATTGAGTTGTGATGTTACATATAGTCTGCTAAGTGACTGAGTCCAAGGGCAGTCTCAAGATCCAAATTATTCATTAGAAAAAAACTTTGTACCTTAAACCAGTTAAGACGGTGAATTTGGTAAGGGGGCAAGTCATGGCCTATGTGAGAAAAGGACAGGAATGTCTCATCATCTGGGGACTTAAAAAAAAAAAAAAAAAAAAAAAGAAGAAGGAAAAAAACTCACTGTATTTAGCCAAATCAATGCCTCAGCTATTTATTTTTGCCTTTTCTCTGTTAGTGTTTCTTTCTGCAGAATTGCATATTATTAAAAACTGCTTTGTTGTCCCTAGAGTCTCTCGAATCTATTATTGTATTCCTAACAAGTTGTGATCTGGTCTCACCTGGTCTTGCCTGCTGACCACAAACCATAAATTTATCTTATAGCTTCAAGGGGGAGGGGCTCAAGGTCACAGCACAGCTAATCAGCTTTGTCTTGCAAGGACACTCTGGGTGGGGAAATGAGAGTGACTTGGTTTGCTTTTCTGTTGTTGCTGCCGGTGCTAGCCTCTCAGTTCTTTGTTGTAAGGGACAGACAGCAAGGGAACCGACTGCTTTTTGGGACAGAGAAAGGCAGCTGATGGATCTGTAATATAAAAGTCCTGTTCCAAAAGAGAGAGGGCACATCATTATTGCCTTTTATAGATCCCTTATCTACTACTCAACTTTTTTTTCAAGACTGTTTTCTAGCATGTAGCCAGCAGCTTGGAAAGTTTCCAGTCTTCTACCATTGCCTTCTTTCATAAATTAACCCAGGACTTCTCCCCCTAAGCTGATTTCTCCTTTTACCTCACTAGAGATTTCTTTATAGCAGTCCATGCGCCCTCTGGTGTGCCTTTTTTGTCACTGTTTTCTACAGGGAAACTTAATGAAATGCATTATACTATGCAGCGTATAGTCATGTGCTGTGTAATTATGTCTCCACTTCATATATTTCAGTGGTCTCATCATCAATGCCCCCCACCTTACTTGGTATAAGTGTATTTCACCATGCTGCCTCAAGGACAAAATCATCTAATAACATTTCTCAGACTGTATACCTGTTAACAACTCTCCCAGCCTATCATAATTGCTGTACACTCTGCAGAGACATTTGTAATGATGTGATTTGAATTTAGGTAAAATGAAAGTAATAGGTTAACAGGTCACTGCCTGTGCCTTCATGAGTTCTGAGCCATCATAGGATGTATTTGTTCACAGGCAGGGTCCCATAGTTTTGCTATATCTGTTGACACCAATGGTTAACTGATTGACTGGTGTGCTGTGGTATTACCACAGGATTATAACCTTAGAGACATCACTTCAGAATGATGTGTGAATTGTGACATTTTTCAGTTTTTCCATTTTCTAAGGTTTTAATTCCAGCTCTCCTGCACACCTATAACATCCTGGTGTCCTACAATCTAGTCTCACCCTTCATGTTTACGAATATTTTTGTCAGCTTAGCTTGACATGAAATGCTTCATATATATGAAAGTTTGAAGGCAGTTTAAGAGACAGAATTTACTTAAATGATGTATTTTATTTTTCCTGTAGGAAAAACGCAAAGCAGAGGAAGCCCTTAGTGACCTCCGACGTCAGTATGAAACAGAAGTAGGAGATCTACAGGTGACCATTAAAAGGTTAAAAAAGGTATGCATATGGCATCTATATATTCTAGAAATTATCTCTATTATCTCACTGTATCTAAGACATCAAAAATGAAAAAAAAATTTAGAATTATGTTGAAGAAGAAGAGAGAATGACATTGCTAAGTCAGTTTAACTCCTTGAGAGACTTATAACATGTAAAAATAAAATATCTTATACTTGAACAGTGCATCAAACCTATTTTATTAGTTTTCATTCACCAAGTGCTTTGAGTGGATCCCCTGTATCCAGAGGAAAGTATGTTCCTTATTGAAACTTATCTGGCTAGATCAGGTATCCCTGTATTCCTGTCCTTAGCGTACTTCAAGGTGCATAGCAGAAATTTAGTAAATGTTAAGTGAAATGAAAATTGCTTTTAAGTAGAAATTTCCAGGTCTAGCAATCACCTGATCATTAAGAAGTAAGAAAAAAAATGTGGAAACATGAGCAAAAGTGTGTTTGAGTACTGATATTCTCTTTCTTGGGCCCAATGAACAGTTTCTTTGTACTCTGAGATTTGTTTATAAGTGATTCTGGATTGTAGCAGTGAAACAGCAGAATTTTGTACCCTTGCCAGCTTCCATGGTGTGGATGCTTTTAGAGTTATTGACATCATGCTATCAAATTGACATCTCCATATGCAGAAATAAACTCTCACCTGTCACCATAAAATTGTTCTATCATAGAATTAAGCTCACATTTTATGTGGTTGTTTCCACAAGTGGTGGGAATAGTTTAAGTAAACAAAAATGAAAATTAAATATTCAGTAGTATTGGAGGGCCATTAAGGGAAAGCCATTTCCTTCTGGTCAAGAGCATACAATCTACTTAACCTGTATAGAAACCTACCATTCCAGGCACCCAAAACATAAGAGTTAATCCAATTGGGCCAGGTAGTCTCCTGGTTTAAGGAGTTACCCCTCTGGAAGGTAGATTCACCTAAATCTAACCTAAAGATATGGGAGGAATAATAATTAACCCTCTAATAAGACAACACAGTTATCTTTCATGGAAATTCTTCCTTCTGTTCAGTTGCTAACTGAGAAACATCCATGGAGCTTCCTTTCCCCTGCCAGCATTTTTTTTTTTTAATTACTCAGAAAAGTGTAACTTTTCCTTTTTTCTATTTCTGTTCTAGGTATGCATTCCCCAATGGAGTCTCAGGGCTTCTGGCTCTTTTTCTCACCCCCCCCACCACCTTTTTGCCATGTGACACTTGTCTGCATTGCGGCTGAATATGCTAGTGTTAACTCAAAGGACATGCCTCCCTTTTCAACATGTTCTTCCCTTAGGCAGCTGCCAAGATTAAAGCTTACCTGTCTAAGATTTCTCCTTTAAATTATAGTAAAATTGTCATTTTCTTATGAATGTTTTGTTAAATTTGTTTGTTTTATGAGACTAAGACCTTTGTGAGGGGAGCCCAATTTCCCCAGTAACATGGGGAACCCCACCTGAGACTGCCTGTAACATAAGAATCACTAACAGTTTGGTAAAGTTAAGTTACAGTAACTCGTCATTGTCACCCATGATCATCTTAATCTCTGCAGTGGCTGAGAGTCATCTAGAAGTCCTCTATAAAATATTTCTCTATGATTATTTCATATGTAGTCTACCATCATAGAAATAGATTCCAGAATGATGAATTAGCTTATCCATTGAGTCTTGAGTCCCCTCTTTACATTGCAAGGATGGATGCTAAAAATGTGACCTGATACCTGATGTAACATATGATGAGATCCTAACAGTGGGAGATCATAAATGAGGATGATAAAACCTGAGTCCTTATTGAAATTATACCATTTTTTCTGATAAAAATAGAAGTATTTTCTTAATATTTTCAATCCTTAACTTATCCTTTAAAACATAGTGAAGTATCCTGCCTAACCATATGCTAAACATGAACTCATTTTTGAGGATCAAGTTCCAGAGTGACTTGCTCAAAATTATAGAGCTTGTAACTGATAGAGTCTGTGTTTCTTGCCTATTCTAGACTTCTTGTCCACCTGCTATGTTTGTTATATAAAACAGTAAAAATATTTATAGGAGAGAATGCTAAGGGCTCTCAAAATCATAAAAAAGTACGTTAAAGATAATTGTGACTGCCATTATTTTGACAACTGATTGTGAGTCTTAGGGTTTTTTTTTTCCTTCATAATTATCTTCTGTAAAGTCATAATGCATCTCTATTTCTTAAAGAAATATCATGATAACTAATTTTAAGTTAAAGTTATACTATACAAGCATAGGGGAAAAGAACAGGACAGATGTAGATATAGCATATTTAAGGACTCACAAATCAATGGACTTAAGTACTGGGAAATAGATCCACAAAGTTACAGCCATCTGAATCTCATGAAGATAGAGAATCAAGAGTCTTTCTTAGAAAGTGGTGCTAAGTCACCTTCCCTGTGGAGTGGGAGGAAAGGGGATGGAATGGGAGGGTGGTCAGGGTGCATGGGAGGGAGAGGGAACTGGGATCAATATGTACAATAAGAAAAAAATGTGATGCTAAGTAAAGTGGGTTCCCCAGATCTTCCTCTTGCCCTATAGGAGAGTCAACTCAAAGGGTATATGTAAAAGAAGCAATCTAGTAGAAGGCAGTGCCTGGAAAATGAGACAGTCTTCACCAGACAACAAACCTAGTTAATATACATCTGTCAGTCACAGTGAGTCATGTGGAAGTCATGCCACATAATAGCTTCTGGCAAGATAGAGAATGCTCATGGTTAATGTGCATGAGCATGATGAAATCTGGTAAACATTTGACTAGTGCAGACGCCCTCTCTTTGACGACACCAGAAAACAACTCCTCACGGATCTGGAACATTAACTTCTTTGTAGTCACATCTTTTTGTTTTTGTTTGCATTCCTAGAGTTTGAATGTATGGTCTTATACACGCTAAGAAAATGTTGTATGTTGGGTCCTTCTTTTTTTTTTTTTTCCTTGACATTTGTTTTTGAGATGCCATCTTGATCTGTGACCTGAAATTCATTGTACAACTGGATTCACAGTTGTATCCCACAACAGCTGATTCATGGGGAAGTTATTTTTGTTTTAGATATTCTTGAACTCTGGTAAGAATGTATCAGCCAGCAAGGAGACCTCATATATGCTCATTTATAGTTCATTCTCTCTCTCTTTACATCATACTTATATGCTTAGATATTAGTGATTTCAATTATTATTGTAAACATTTCTTAAGTCCACTATGAAGAAAACAGGAAAATCTGATATTAACACCCCTCTCATTTTTTTTTTAATTTAAAAAAATTCTAGATGATTGTGGTAGTGAACATCTTTGTTTTTAGCAATCATCTGTATTTCCGGCCCTTGAGAGGTAGGTTTAAAGCCAGCTTCATCAACTAAGCAAAATTGAGTCTCATGCCAATATAAGATATGAGACTATCTCAAACAACAATATACTCTAACAGAAGATAAGACTATTACAAAGTGTCAAGCATACAGGATGAAAGAGAATGCCCATATTCTTTTAGTAAATAAAGAAAACAAGGATTGAGTTGTGTTATTACTGAGTGGTTTTCAAAGGGCTTTGCAGTGCTTAGAAGAAAATACATTTAATAATAAAAGTCTTTCTCCAGTTTCTAAATACCTAACTTTTATTTGCCTTTTCAGCTTGAAGAACAATCAAGACACATAAGTCAAAAGCAAGATGTGACAGCATTAAAGAAACAAATTTATGACTTAACAATGGTGAGAATCACCCTACACTGGAAGAAATTTATTTCCTGTTAGACAGTATCCTAATTACTTTCTATAAGTATGATAAAATACCATAACAACAAGTTGGGAAGGAAAGTATGTTTCATGTTGCAGTTCTAAAGTAATGGTCCATCATCAGGGGAAGCCAGGATGGGAAGCAAAGAAAAACCAAGGAGGAACACTGCTTACTGGTTTGTGTCCATGGCTTTCTTTCTTATATAATCAGGACCACCTGCCCAGGGATGTCACCATGCACAGTGGACCCATCCACATTAATCATTAATCAAGAAAATGCCCAAAAGACTTACCGAGGCCTAATCTTGTGGAGATGTTTTCTCCAGTAAAATTTTCTCTTACTAAATGATTCAAGTTGACAAAAAGCAAACCATCGCAGACAACACAAGCACATGTTTCTGGTATTTATTGTTTCTGTGATTCTGGAATAAAAGCTTAAGGAGAAAGTAGATATTATAATTACGGAAAAACTTTAAAATATATTTGAGTAACTGTATTATAAGAGTTTTCTCTCAATTAAATACTATATATATAGATCTGAGGACAACAACCCATGAGTAAGCCTACCCTCAATGGTCTCTGCCCTCCCATATCAATCACCAATTAAGAAAATGTCTGATAGGTTTGCCTACATCTGGATCCAATAACTCTAGCTTCTGTCAAGTTGTTATAAAACTAGACAGCACACAAATATTCAACTATCTTTTTTGTGCCACCACTACTATAAATTTTGTTTTTATTTTCCCTTGAAAATATTAGTTTTGGAGGTCATGAAATGACACTTTTATTGTATTGCTTTGATATATATATATATATATATATATATATATATATATATATATATATAAATTTGAATTTTTAAAACTTCATTATAACTTGTATTTCCTTGAATAAATGAACCTTGAGGGTCATTAGACTTAGTGTTTCTTGATTCTGGGAAAAATGAAACAGTATATAACATAACTCCCACACTCTTACTTTTCCCTGTTCCTCAAATCTTCATATTCAAAGAACCAAATATGGATTCAACTATGGTACATTATTAAAATTTAAAAAATTAAATTCTTAACATCATCATTTTGGTATGTGGCATTTGTTACCAAACAATGATAGATAGGAGCTGTCACTATACCTTTGATATGTTATTGGAGACAGAGAAACAGACAGACACAGACACAGACACACACTTCCTTGAAAGTCTGTCTCATTGACATGGTGAGTACAAATTGTTTCTACATAGATCAGGCTAGCCTCAACTAGAGTTCTACCTCTGCTTCCTCAGCTCATTTAAATTTATTTTCCCTGACCCCTTCTCTTAAAACATTTATTTGTTTTTACTTTATGTATGTGGGTGTTTTGTCTGGATATATGTCTCTTCATCATATATGTGGCTGTTGTCTATAAAGGGATAAAGATGGTATTGGATCCCTTGGAAGTTATGATGGTTGTAAGTCACCATGTAAGTTCTAGAAATAGAACCCAGATCCTCTGGAAGAGTAACAGGTATCCTTTACTACTGAACCACCTCTCTGCCCACTAGCTTCACTTCTTATCCCGCCTTCTGTTATTTGACTGGGCCTCTTGGCATCTTCTGTGTTCTCTAGCAGGAGCTTCTAAGCATTTGGTTTTAGAATGCTGCCTTGGTGCATTTTTTTTAGTGGAATTAAATACTGGAGGCAGGATAACCTCATACAGAAAGGGTTTTATTTAGAACATGGTTGTAGTGGTTCAAGAACATGAGGCAGTGCCATCTTAGCTTTGATGTGAACCTTGTAGTTCACAGCTGGAGTATGAGCCAGAAGGGTAAACAGGAAACAGCAACTGATCTCAAAGATAACTTCCAAGGACAGCACCCTAACTGATCTAAGGAACACCTACTTTGTCTTACCTCTTAAAAGGTTCTGTGTCACCTCTCCACCTGGAAACAGGAGGAAAAGCTTTGTGGTGGGGGATACTCTGTCAAATTATATATACATCTCCATATTACCAATTGTCTTTTCCCCAACTCTCTTCTTTGGGGTGGCACACATCATCCACTTTCCATTTTCTAGAAATGTGTTTAAGTCACTTGACTATTCATGGGCCCCTGTTCCATTCCTTTAACTGTAAATGGTTTGTTTCAATTGTAATTTCATATTCATGAGGTTTTCTGGGAAGGGAAAATAGACCATCTATGTGCACAGTCAACTATTTGAACCGCAATGTCTGGGGATTTCTATTTTAAAGGAAAATATAAAATTGCATAACTATACATGTCAATTGTTGATTACATTTTTAAACAAAAAAATAATTAGATGGTGGTATTTACTATTAAAAGCAGCCAGTGTAACTAATTTTGGGAAGATGTTCAGATATTTCATCTTGGCTATTTTTCCAATAACATGAGTGCATTATTATTAGTCCTTGTTTATTATAGTTTGAGACAGATGCCAGGTGCAAAATAAATAACAACTTTAAACTTTGGTAGTGTACAATATTTGAGTATATAATTGGTTCCCTAAACATGAAGATGTAAACTGAGGACAGGTAAGAGTTCTATTTTTGTGGGGTTACACTGCATAGTACTTCCTTTGTCTAGAACCAAGAAATCATGATTCTAATTCCCATAATGGTTCACTTTCTTTAGGAAAATCAAAAACTCAAAACAGAGCTTTTGGAAGCACAGACAAATGTAGCATTTCTTCAGAGTGAACTAGATGCTTTGAAAAGTGATTATGCTGACCAGAGTCTGAATTCTGAACGGTATGAAACTATTTTCATAATAGAGGGTCATTCATTAAATTTGGGAAAAACTATATATATTTCTAAAGATGGCACCTTTAGTGACAGATTTCTTCCTCCTCTCCCTCTCTCGCTCACTCTCTCTCTTTCTCCCTCTCTCCCACCTCTGTATGCATGATCAATCTTTTAAAAAGAGTAACCATTAGATTTACTTGCCTCTTAGGACAGTACAGGGCTTAGAAAAATGTTTGGTTTAAGTGGCCATGGGAAGAAAATACTATGTAATAACAATCTTCTGTTAAACATGCTTGACAGATATGAATACTGACCTAAAACATAAGAATGGAGTTATTAATTATTCAGTGCATTGGGTTTGAGGTACTGGTATTAATCAAAGCCAGGCATTCTTACATGAGAGATACAGCTGTATACATATACACAGAGTAAATTTTGGCATTTGGGAGAAAATATTTTATACATTTTCAAACTTCAATCAGAATTACTCATTGTAGTATTAAAGAATATAACTTTTACTAGATATGTTCTGTCTGGATCATTAGAGACAATGAGTTGTGAGTTTAGCATATATAAAATCAGAGAAACAAATTTAAAATTTTCAAGTTCATTTGGGAAAGCCATGAAAAAAAGTTAAGCAGTATGGACTGAGGACCGGTAGTAATGCCATTAGCAACATCAAGGGGTGGGTAACTACCTTCTTCAAGCCTATGTTAAGGAAATGCAGGAGGTAAATACAAGAGGAAAGGTCAGCTTGTATTGAGGTAAGGACAAGAGGACTCAGAGACAGCAGTATCCACTAAAGCAAGTAGCATTGCCATCAACCAGTAGCATCCTTGGCAAGTTATTAGTGTTTATGCCTTCATCCACAGACTACCCTATCTTGCAGGTACCTTTATTATCTCCAGTTTACTACATATATTGTAGGTAAGGGGGGGGGGATTAGAGAAACAATGTAAGAGAGAAGGAAGATTGGTTTGGGGAGAAATGATCAGACTGTAGGCCATTTAATTTGAATAGGAAACAGCCTTTTAAAACATAGTAAACGCTGATAAGCTAGTTTACAGATATTCTTAAAGGGCCTAAAATTTTTGGCTAAGGAACTTAGATTGCTATATGCAATTGGGTTTCACCTCATCAGCAAAGGATAAGTTTCTACAGGTGAGGCTTCATAGCTTGGAAGGAAGCTAGAGTTTGGCTGTGCCTTATACTCACACCTGTTGTTTCTTCTCTCCTCACTGAAACATCAAATATAATTTTTCAGGGATCTGGAAATAATCCGAGAGTATACAGAAGATCGCAGTAGTCTTGAGAGACAAATTGAAATCCTTCAGTAAGTTCTCATCTGAAAAGCTCATTTCATTTTAGTTAATGTTTGCTAATAAAACATATGCCACGTGTAAGACAACCTGCCATGACCAGTGTTCAGGTCACTGCTTCTGCTCCCTGCAGTACATTTGGCATGTCTCATCTACCTGTAACTAAATTACTCCAGTGCAGCCCAGTTGTCAAGGTCCTTCCAGGTCAGAAAAGTGTATGTCACATGTCTGTAATGATGTAGCATTCACCCTCATTGTTCTCTGTGGCAGATCTGGAGAGCTCCCAGGTCCTCACACAGATGGGGCCATAGGATAGTGTTCAGTCATTCTTTTTCATTTTGTTATGCTGACTACAGACACACTTTTCTTGAGCTTTCTTTTTCTTTTTTGTTTTTAATTCTATCCAGTCTATCAACTTCACTACTAAGTTGCAGTAATTCTATCTTCTGAGGACCTTTTTTAAGAAACCTTGATGTTCCTCCATTTGTTTTTCTTACACAGTATATTCTTTGGTTTTTAATCTACTAAAGGAAATAATGTTGGGCTCAGCAAATATCTCCAATTTTTAATGTTCATTAACTCTCTGCTGTGGCAACTTCAGAGGTCACTTTTTATACAGTCTTATTCACTCACTCGTTAACTCCTTCAGTAGATTTCCCAGTTAATATCTTTCAAGGGTGAGATACTCTTGTAACTGAGGGTAGAATAGTGAGTAGCAGAAAAAAAATCTTTTTTTTTATAAATTCAGTCAGAGAGGAGGAGAACATTTATTTCTGGTTACTCAGAAATAAATATGATATATACCCAAATGAGAGAAGGATAACCAAGGAAAAATACATGTCCCCCCCCCCCCCCCCATGGAGAACTATGGAATTTCAATAAAGTGCTCCTGGTGGAAGTGATAAGAAAACTGTAACATGAAGGATAAAGTGTTTATAAACAAGAAAATTAGAAACTCCATGGGATAAGGAATTAGTGGTCCTCATTTTGTAGCCAAGGGAAGTACATGTTGAATGACTTTTATTATTGAAGTTCATGTTTACAGCCCAATCAGTATGAGATCAATAACCAAGTGTATACTTGATACAGAAATCCCATCAGGGTGTAAAGAGGATGTGATGTAGAAATCGCCAGCATGATATAGCATGCTGCCTCACTGCTTGGGCCTGAGCTGTGTGAACAGGAGAACAGAGAGCTACATTAAGCCTGCTGACACAGGAATTATGTAAGGCAAGAGAGAGTGCCACAGCCCAGCAAATGTATTCTGGAGATGCTCCCAGACTTCCAGGATAGAGAACTCATCAATTCAGTCATGGCAATTTGTATCTGTTTCTAATTCTGTTTCTGGGTTGTGAAGGGAAGCAAGTTTATAAAAGTGTGATAATATATGTACATTGTGAGTATCACTGCATTGAGACAGAGTGGGCATTGATTCCCCAGTACTTCCTGTATCTGTTTGCTAACTTCTTTCCTATACAGAACAGCTAACCGGAAGCTGCATGATAGTAATGATGGCCTCAGGAGTGCACTGGAAAACACTTACAGCAAGCTCAACAGATCCTTGGTATGTAATGTCATCTTACAAGATATTCTGTTCTCTCAATCAAATGTTCTGGCATAAGAATACCATGCAAAAATGAAAAAAAAAAGAGAAAAAAGAAAAAGAAAACTGTGTGATAGAGTAATTTCATGTTGAATAAGTTTTCTAAGTTAAAAACAAATGCAATGATGTTACTCAATCTCTCTGTATGTATGTATGTATGTATGTATGTATGTATGTATGTATGTATGTTCTAATAAACTAGAGAAAGGTGCTGTGATTTTAGCCTTGGAGGGTTTAATAGTATAAGAGCTAGTTAAAAGGACAGCAAAATATAAGAAAAAGTGAGAAATTTTTGGTTATAATAATAAAAAATATTTCCAATCAAGAGAAGGTACCTATGCTTCTGGCTTGTTTATGTTCCCTATGTCACACTCTTGAGAGAGTTTTGGGTTTTGGGTTTTAAACCCTCCAATAAGAAAGAAGTTTCCCAAGACTGCATTTGCAATGAAGCCTCTTATTCCAATTTGTGGCTCAGTTTTTGGCAGGAGAGTCTAGTGCCATATTAGGGCACCAAATAGTTACTCAACAAGATTTCCAAAAGAGACAATTCCAGGAAAGCCGAGGGTGTGGCTTCTGGAATATCTGAGGAGCTAGCAAACTCTTTGGAGTATGCAGTAGAGTCATATAAGGGCTAAGATTGTTTAGGAAGAGAAACCATGTCTGTTATCTTTGCTGAAACTTTCCAAATGATATTTTTCATGTTTATATTGCTCATGTGTGTTCATTGACTTTTTATTTGTATTTAGAGTTAAACTGTGTAGGTTTGCATAAACATATATCTGAGGTACAGAAAATGTCTAGATATTAAACATGTATTGTGTATTACAGCGTATAAATAACATATCACCAGGGAATACAATTTGTAGAAGCAGTCCCAAATTTAACCACCATTCTTCTCAACCATTGGCCTATGATAGGTATGTAGTACCTGTTTCTTTGATTATCTTGGTTGTCCATAGAGGTTGAGTGTAAGACAAATTATCTTAGAGCTGAATTAAAACAAAGGGATATATCTAAGTAATAATTTATATTTGTTATTATCTTACACTAATGTTCAAGAATGTGAAAATGGTGAAACAGTAAAGTGAGCTTTGTTGAAATTGAGTTTTGCTTTGTTACTGGGACTTTGAATGAGGGTAGGCTTTCCCTGATTGTGCCTCCTCACACCCAAAGGAAAAATTTCCCAATGCCTTTTCTTGAAAACAAACAAGCAAACAAACAAATGAAACAAACAATGGAATTAACAAATAGAAAAGAATTACAAGTTAGAAATAATCAAACTATTCAAATGTGGTCTAACGGTAGTATAATTAAAAAAAACTCGTGTTCTAAGAATATTTTATTAAAGTAGTCCAAGACTGTATTTGTATCTAGTAAATAGATCAGCCAGTTTAAAAGAGGGGACCATATGTGTAAGGTTTCTCATTTGTCATCATAGCTTATTGCATAGAATGAACTGATTGCTCTTTACACTTTCTCTCCTGTTCTATGAGAACATCATGTATCTCCTGGCAAATGGCAGTGTTGTCAGACTGTCCCTTTGTGCTTTTGTACATTGTGAACTCGTTGGTAAAGTTGTCTCCTCTTTTATCACAAGGTCATTCCATTCTTCATATGCAGATGAGGATTGTGACTCTTTGGCTCTCTGTGATCCTCTGCAAAGGATGAATTATGAAGTTGACAGCCTACCTGAGAGTTGTTTTGACAGTGGCTTGTCTACTCTGAGAGACTGCAATGAGTGTGACTCTGAGGTGGACTACAAGCACCAGAGAGGATTTCAGAGTTTGCATGGAACACAGGAGAACCTTAGAGGAGATGCATCAGATACAGATGTAAGCCAGAAGCCATGACACTCTGATACCTTCCTTTGACTAAAATCTTCCACCATGTTTTATGGGAATCTGTCTTAACAGCACATAACCTAGGCTGTTAAGGTTATAAATGGGAAACTGTCATTAGAATGGCATTTCCTCCCCCCCCCCACACCAAATAGGGAGGAATTCTCAGATTTGCCTTGAAGAAGAGGTTTGTTCAATAATCACACTAAAAGTAGACTCAACATTATAGTTTCTTTCCCCCTTTAGTCTGTGAAGTATATGTGAGGGACTTTATTTTTAATTGATCCTTTTTTCTGATAGGTTCCTGATATAAGGGATGAAGAAACATTTGATTCTGAAAGTGTGGCCTCAGTCTTATACTGGAAGTCACAGGAATCTTTTGGTGAAGGCACCGCTAGTTCCTCCAGAAAACCCATCTCAGCTCTTTCACCTCAAGTAGGTAGCTTTTGAGATTCTTCTTTTCATGACATGTTACTTAAGATGAAAAATGGCCCCTGTCATCACCTCTGTGGCTATTTCTCTCTAGACAGACATGGCAGATAATAACTCCAAAGCCACAGCTCAGAAGGCTTACAAGATTGTGCTTGCTGGAGATGCTGCCGTGGGAAAGTCCAGCTTCCTCATGAGACTCTGCAAGAATGAATTTCAGGGGAACACAAGTGCAACCCTAGGTATGACTCTTACAAGACAGTTACTACCTCTAGCTTGATTTCAGGATTATATACATAGATTCACAGATTTAAAAAACTTTATGTATTTATTCATGTACACAGACTTTGTGTGTGTTTGTCATGGACGATGAAAATCTTTGTAGATAGTGGGATCAAACTGTAGGAGAAACTGCTGGCCAGCCCACCCAAACCACAGTGTCCCTGCCCAGATGCTCAGGTCAGCCAGCATGAGCATGCTTGGAAGGCACTTCCTCCATGAGCCAAGTCTGCCTCTACCCCCAGAGACTGCTGACAAAGAGACACCTGACCCAGAGATACCAATGAGGAAAGGACAATGTGCAGAGTCAGCTGCCTGAGCCAATAGGACCTTGGGAGGGGGTATAAAGGCAGGCTTAACTTCCTTAATAAATGAGTCTGCAGCATCCTCTGCTACTCATTGACTCCCAGTGCCTGAATCATGGGTGGCTGCATCTTCTCAGCCTGTCCCACAAGGGGTGTCCAAGCAGGTTAACCCACTACATTAAACAAACCCTGCTTAGACATAGTAGATTCTTTTGTTCCACTCAATTTTTTTAATTTTTTATTCATTTTACATACTAACCACAATTTCTTCTTGCTTCCCTCCTCCTGCTTCCCTCACCTTCCCCTACTCCATTCCCTAGCAACTCCCCAGAAAGTGTAAGGCCTCCCATGGGGAATCAACAAAGCCTGGCATATCAAGTTGAGGCAGGACCAAGCCCCTCCCCCATGCATAAAGTTTGAGCAAGGTATGCCACCATAGAGAATGGGTTCAAAAAATCTATCTCATGCACTAGGGATAGATCCTGGTCCCACTACCAGGGGCGCCGCAAACGGACCAAGCTACACAATTGTCACCCACATGGAGAAGGCCTAGTTAGGTTCCATGCAGGCTCCTCAGCTATTGGTTCAGAGTCCATGATGTTCCATAAACTCAGGTTAGCTGTTTCTGTGGGTTTTCCCAGTATGATCTTGACCCCCCTGGCTCATAATTCTTTCTTACTTTCTTTGACTGGTCTCCTAGAGCTCTGCCCTGTGCTTGGTTATGGAGCTCTGTATTCGCTTCTATCAGTTACTGGAAAAAGGTTCTATGATAACAGTTAGCGTAATCAGCAATCTGATTACAGGGGAAGGCCAGGTACCCTTTGCACTACTGCTAGGAGTCTTAGCTGCAGTCATCCTTGTGGATTCCTAGAAATGTCCCTTGTACCAGTTTTCTCCCTAATCTGATAATGGTTCCCTCTATCAATACAATACATCTCTTCCATTGCTCTCCCACTCCATCCCTCCCACAATGCAACCATCTCATTCCCTCAGGTTCTCATTCCCCACCCTTTCTTCTCTATCGCTCCTCATCCCCACCCCAAGTTCATTCAGGAGATCTCATCTATTTCCCCTTCCTAGGGTGATCCAAATATTATCCCTCTTAGGGTCCTCCTTGTGACCTAGCTTTTCAGGAGCTCTGGGTTGTGGTCCGGTTATCCATTGCTTTAGTTAAAATTATCCAAAGATTTTTTTTTTTTTTTTTTTTTACTTTTTGAGGCAAGGGTGAAAGGTACTATTTCCCTGATTTATTTCCCAGTCTGTTTTTCATTAGGATATAGGATATAGGCTACTGGGATGTGTGTGTTTGTGTTTTTGTGTGTGTGTGTGTATGTGAATTCTGTGTCTTTTTCTTTGCTTCTTGACTATGAGTTTTTGGGTGGAATTTTTAGGGTAACTTACATACACTATCATAATAGCTACAATAAAGATACTTTGACTTCTTTTCTTATTTGAATCCTCTTGAACTCTGTAAGTTGTCTTATTGCTATTGGTAAGATTTCAAATCCTGTATTAAATATGTATAAAGATAGTGGATATCCTTGTCTTGTTTCTTATTTTAGTGGAAATGCTTTGTGTTTTTCACTGTTCAGGATGTGGAGTTGATGTACATTTCCTTTATTATGTTGAGAAATGTCCCTTATATCTCTAGTCTCTCCAAGACTTTTATCCCAGGTAGAAATATTATTTCAAAGGCTTTTCTGCATCAAATGAGATGAGCTTTTTCTGCATCAAATGAGATGATCATTATGTTTTTTATTAATTTACATATTTTGAACCATGGTGATTCTTTGGAAGTTGCTAACTTAATCATGATAGATAGCTAATCTTTTTGATGTGTTCTTGAATTCATTTTGTAAGTATTTTATTGAGAAGTTTTGCATTTAGGTTCATAATAGATAATGGAGTATTTCAGTCTGAAGAAATTAACTACACCCAAGAGACCAAAATTAATAAATGATTACTGAACAACATATCAAAGTGGAAGAGAGATACACAGCAACTCTCAACAGATATAAGGAAATTTAAATAACATCTTTCATCATTTCTGACCATCATATCTTAAAGTTGGATATGGACAATGATAGCAACAGCACAATGTATACAAACTGATGGAAACTAAACAAATAAGAACTGAATGAAAATTGGATGAAGACATAAATCAACAAAGAATTTTGAGAATTGAATGAAAACAAATATACAACATACCTAAATCTCTGGGACATGGTGAAGGGGGTCTATATACTAATTATCATTTAATTTCTTTTTCATCTAAAGAGTTATTTAGACAATCAGAAATGATAAAGAATTGGTTCCCTTCATCACATTGGGCATATCTGTAAATTTATAGTTCTCTGATAAACACTTCAAAAACAGCAGCAACAACAACAACAACAAAAAAACAAAACTGGAATTTCACTTCAATTTAATTTATAAAAGAACTGAAGTATTGCTGTGGTTGCTAATTTATAGTTCTCTGGTAAATACTTCCAACAAAAAAAAAAACCCTGGAATTTCATTTCAATTTAGTTTATAAAAGAACTGAAATATTGCTGTGGTTGCTAGAGAGCATGGCATACATATGTATGTGTGTTTGTATGTCTGTGTGTGTGATAAACAGACCGATCTGAACACACACATATGCACACATAAATATACATATATATGTGGCTGTAAAACTCAAGGGAGCATCCATGTACATATACATATGATGTTATATGCACATATATGCTTATATAAATAGCATGCACTATATATATATATATATATATATATATATATATATATTCTTACAGTTTTGCATGCACACATATAGGACTGATTCCAATCATCTAGGAAAAAAGAACTGAGCGTGCTCTATTCCATAGTATCACTTTACCTTGTGTCAGCAAGGCTGCAGATAGTGAATCCATTTCTACATAAGTGAATTGACTTATTTGAAGCTTGCCCTTTGAAGGCCAAGTGCATTTTTTTTTTTGTTACATTGGCTTTGGCCAAAACTTCCAGAATTACCTGTGGCATTTCTATTTCAGGAGTTGATTTCCATATGAAAACTCTGATTGTAGATGGTGAACGGACAGTTCTTCAGCTCTGGGATACAGCTGGGCAAGAAAGGCAAGTGCTTATCATAGTGTTTTGGATTAAAGAATGAAAGCCTCATAGGGTTGACTATGCTATTTGTATTCCTAATATATCACTGTGCTTTAAGACACTGCATTTGTAATTGTAAGGTATATGGAATACCAAAAGAGATTATCTTTCCAACATCTCCCATGCCTTTGTATCACTTATATGCTCAGAGGGTCTTTGAGCTTTTTTTTTTTTTTTTTTTTCCAGTTGATATTTGGTTGTGACAGCACACTTTGCTGTGGAGAGGAGGCAACATTATTTCTGAATGCAGTGTCACTGTGAGGGTTACTTAGATTTGAAGCAGTACAAGATGGGTAAAGAGACCCTATCCATTATCCTTGATTGAAGGGTAATAGCACAAGGCAAGTGGCAGATATACTTCTGGTGATTCCCTATGTTAGATTTCTTGACAATGACCCGAAATATGAAGCATAAATTTTAATTTTACCTAATTTTATGTGGGTCAAAATTTACTCAGATATGCAATGAGTATGCTTGAGCTCTGTGTCTGCACTGTTCTTTAGTGATAAATGTGGAGACACACTCTATCTTTGGTCACTGCAAATCTTACTTCACTGCTTTTCCCATATTTTGGTCTTGGAGATTAGGCCACAGGCAAGAAACAGCATATGTCCAGTTTCCTTTGTACCTACTTCTTAATTGATACAACAACTCACTCTTGCCCTTTTAGAACACAATTCTCCAGAAGGCTGGGAGTTCCACCATTGTGTCTTTGTGCAACGTGTACACACACACACACACACACACACACACACACACACACACACACACACACAAACATACACACACACACACACACACACACACACACACACACACACACGTACAAGTATACAAGGGCATAGGACAATATCAGATGTCTTTCAGTCACTCACTGCCTTGTTTTTGATACAGGTATTTAGTTTCCCATCTGTCTGTTTGCTGGTTGCTGGGGTAGACATTTTATCTTTATACTTTCACCACTGTTGCGACTAAAGTTTGAGGTTAGATGTGTTCTTGGGATTATCTAATGGAGAAAAGAATGGGCTTTCTCAATGATCCCTAGATCTCTCTTAAAAAAAGCTTATCAGTTAGTTGTATTGCTGTTAAAGCTTTTATTTATTGGAATTGGTTATAGAAAATAAAAACTAAGGGCATAATAGAGATGAACTGGCGAGGACCAGATGACAGGTTGATGATGAGCTTTTGCTTTGTCTTTTCCAGATTCAGAAGTATTGCCAAGTCTTACTTTAGAAAAGCAGATGGTGTCTTACTGCTGTATGATGTTACTTGTGAAAAAAGCTTTCTTAATGTACGGGAATGGGTGGATATGGTTGAGGTAAGGATTATAATGAAGGGATCAAAAATTATGTAAGGGAGTCATGGACTGTATTAAGAAATGCCATTTTTATTTTTCCTGGAGTGAATATTATTAGGAGCCACTGATCTGTGCTGTCAGGAAGATTGACAGTTCTCAGTGCATTTGGCAGTCTTATCTCTACCTGGGATCATTTCTCAAATTTAAGATACTTTTCTGCAAGTAGCTTCTGGAAACAATTCTCAATTCTTTGCTAGATAAAACAAAGGAAGCCTGTATAATGAAATGGAAACGGGTGGCCACAAAAGCAACTTTTATAAATGTGAAAGTATTTGCATTGCATGTACACTGTAACAGGAATTTTAGAAATAGCTGAGACAAAGTTAAACTTATTCTAGTTGTGATGTGGGGATATTTAAGTATCACAAGATAACTTGGAAATAGGAATTGACATTTTTAACATGTGGCATGGGTGACATTTATGTTAAGATGTTCATATCTCCATGTAAGGATCGTTCATATCATTTGGTTTCACAGTCAGAATTTGTAAAAGTCTTAGGTTTACTGCAAGTTACTAACTTGCATTTATATGCTTGTTACTAACAAGCATATAAATAACAGGGTACTCTCTAGAAAATGTAAACTACTGGTAAATACTGGTAAAAACTTCCCAAGTAAGTAATATCATCTGTATTTTAAACATATTAAGTTACAGACATGGCTGAAGACTAGTGTTGTCCAATCCCATGTGCCTGTGGATTAATATTTGCTTCCTGGCTACAGAATTTATTGGAAGTGATTGGAATAATTCTTAAATGGTGAAATATAAATATGCTTTGTTTTACCAAAGCACCATATCTTAAAGTCATATAAATGCAATTAAAATATCCACATTTCTGAAATATTTATCAGGTAAAATTACCCATAAATTGCATTTATTTTTCATCTTAAAAAAATAAGAAAGAAACAAGCAGGTTTTTACATATTTTAGAACCTGGGGGCATAGAAAGTTCATGATGTTAGTACGAAGGGATGGAATGGAGTTATAACATCTTGACTCAACATTGTTCATTACTTTGGTAAAGTGCAGTAATAACAAGTTACAAATGAATAGCAGTTGTCTTGAAACTAAAGGAACCCTAAGGGGCTTGTCTATGCAAGAGAGCCTTCTATGGAATAGAACTCAGTGGGCTATAACACTGAGTTCTGTGCCAAACATCTTATCATTACTATTTGGGGCTTAGTCTCCATTTTCATGCTTTGTGTATGCTGAAGAAAATGCCCAGAAAGTGGAAATTCAAAAGGCAAGGACAACCAATGAGGAAAATATCCTTACATTAAGTGGGGCACTGCAGATGCATTTTATAAGTGAAAATTTCAGCCCCCCATATCAGAAAAGGAGGAAAATTGTGTACAAGATGATTTCTTGGAGTTCTTATCACACACACACACACACAGAGAGAGAGAGAGAGAGAGAGAGAGAGAGAGAGAGAGAGAGAGAGAGAGTTACCTTGCATTTGAATTTCACTATAGAAAAATATTGGCCAGAAAGAGATTTCCCCATGACTCTTTCTGAGATGAGGCACTGACATTACACAGTCCCTATTAACTGGCTTAAAAAGAGTGGCACCATTGCTAGTGGCAGACATGGAGAAGACAGAATGCTAAAGAAAATTTACAACAAGGAAATGGTATGAGAGAAAGTGTCAGGTATTGCAGAAGAGTAAGGAGGTGGAGCCCAGGCCCATGATGAGGCAGCAGGACCAAGGGGCCCTCATAGAGAATGTAGTGTTTAAGTCTGTTCTTCAAGGGATGCTACATTCAATTTATAAGGCTTTAGAAGTCAGTTAGATACTCAGCTATGTGGCTAGTATGATTGATTATTTGTTTGTCTTCACCATGAATTCTTGATTCTTGCTCCTCTTTGCATTAAGTACGCTTTTATCTTAAGTCAAAGACAAACATCAAATAGAGTCCTCTTGTTTATCCTTATGTCTTGACCCTGTATGAGGAACATCTCAAACTGAATGAGTGTGACCTATAAGCAGTTTAAAGTTTAACTTCCAAGTGTTTGTTGTGTGATGGCTGCTTTTCCTAGCCAGGAACCAGAAACATGTTTCTTTTCTGTCATGTCTGTCACATATTTTATTTACATCACAGCCTTACAAGGTAAAATATGCCCTCTGAGATCATTACCTACAACATGGGCTCCTGGCCCCACTAGGTCTTCTGAGATTCTGTAGAAGTCTGCACATACTGATTGGGTGATTTTGAAATTTATGACTTAAGAAGATTGGTATTTATGATTTGTCTATTTTGCTTTGTTGTAAACTAGAGTAGTGAGTGTGAACCTGCACCCCAGTTTTGTACTAGTACAGACAAAGAATGATATATTCTTTGCACCTGGCATGAAGCAGTTGATGTAGAATGAACATTGTTTTAAGGAGAAGTATCATCATAGACATAGACAATGAAAATAGCTGTGTATTCTGTTCTACACCTATAAATGGTTATGAATACTAAATTTGGCACTTTTAGACAGCTGGACAATGGAAGCTACTGGTACCATTGTCATAGCACTGTTTAATGTATGTCTACTTTTACTTCCTGGTAGGATGGAGCCCACAGAACTGTTCCTATCATGTTAGTAGGAAACAAGGCTGATCTTCATGATACTGCTAATGCAGAGAAACAAAAGTGCATCTCAGCATATCTTGGAGAAAAACTGGCCATGGTAAGAGTATGGGGAGGTGTCCAAAATGAGACAATATTATGGTAGGTCATTGTTCTCAGAATCAGAGGCAATCCTTTCCCTATGTACTTTTCTGTTCTGATACAGTCCTTACCCTGTTTTGTACCTCATCCTGTATTGTACACTGTGTTGGAGACAGTCCTTGTTCATTGTTTTGTATACAACCTTTACTCCTGGGTACTTTACTGTGGACACAATCTTCACCTCTATGTCTTGCACTTTCTTAGAGATAATTCTTACCTTTAGTAGTTCAGTGTTATACACAGTCCTCACATTGTGAAGTTGGCTCTTTTAGGGAGAATTCATATCTGTCTACTTCACTGAGTTGAGAGAGTTATTCTCTCTTTTTTAGTTCCTTGTATTTCCTCCTGTGTAGTTGATGATTTTTTTTATCTTGTGTTGTTAACAATTTTGGATACAGATCTTATCACTATATAGTTCACTGTACTGTAGCACTTGCTTTGTAGTTTACCAAGGTAGACACAATTCATATTCCTGTCCTGTATACCTGTGTTGAAGACTTCTTCAACTTGTTTAGTTCCTGTGTGGACAACAATCTCCACTCCTATTTATTTCAGTGTTTCTGGAGGCATTCCTCATTCTGCATAGTTGATTGTGCTAGGAACTATCCTTACCTTGTTGTACCAGTCCTTACTTTGTAGAAATGACTGTGTTAGAAACAGTCCTTACCCTGTGTATTACTATACAGTAGTGGAAGACTCTATACAACACATTGTGTTGGACCCAATGTCTTACTCTTTGTCTTATACTTTGTTGGAGATATTTTTCACCTTGAGTATTTGCCTGTGTTACATACAGACCTCACATTGTGTTTTAGGGGCAGTTCATACCTATCTAATTTATACCTTACTCCTCGAAGTTCACTATGTTGTATTCCTCAACATTATATATTACCCTGAGTTAAAGACAGCCTGTAGTTGATGGTGTTGGACACTGTACTCATCCTGTGTGGTTGACTGTTTCTGGGGCAGTAGTTCTCACTTGGTGTAGTTCTTTGTGTTGGAGACAGTCCTGATATCTATATAGTTCACTGTATTGAACTAAGTCATCATAACTATGTCTAACTTTGTTGAGAAGATGCTTCCCCCTGTGTGGTTGACTCTGTTAGAAATAATCCTCATTCCTGTATAGTTTATTCTTCAGGAGACAGGATCATTCTTTCCCCTTTGTACCATTCACTTTGTTAACACAGTAGTTATCTCTGTTGTTCTTTAACTTGGAGATAGTGTACTTTACTTGCTTGGAGCTAATCCTTTGCCAGTATACTTTACTCTCAAGAGCACAATCTTTTCATCTATATAGTTTACTCTTTTTTGATTTCCAATATGACACTTACCTCATTTGTTCATATGACAGGAGTTTTGCACTTTTTTCAGACCTAGGATGTAGGCCGGTCAACTGTTAGCTCCAATCTGAGTTTCAACTTGTTCCCTCATGCATGTTTTGACTTACTATTGAAATCCTCAAGATTTACTTTACATCCTCCTGTCATTCCTGTCATATATAACCATTTGTTTCTACTACACATGTGCAGTTGTGAATTGTATATATTTCTTTCTATTGGTTTGCTTACGTAAACCTAATAGAATTTTTCTCTCTTAGTCTACAAAGTAGCCACCAAATCCTTCCCTTAAACTATGTGGTAATAGTTAATCCTCATCTGATGCTGTTGTATCCCAAATTGTCCTTTATTAAAAGAATGTCTCCATTTTGTTTTACAATGACATACAAACATAACTGTTAGAATTGTGTTGAGTGCAAAAAATAAAAACAAAACAAAACAAAAATAAACTAAACACCCAAAACAAAACAACAACAAAACCTGTGAGGTTTATTTATGCAGGAAGAGCTGATAGATACTTGTAAGAATTAGAAACAACTTAATGATTACCAAAGATACAAAACAAAAATGGGAGTTTGCAGCATGAAAAATAAAAGACCCAGAGACAGATATTGGAGTTCAAGCTTTAAGGTGAAGATCAGAAAAGCAAAGCAGCCAAGCCACCAGCTCTTACCTCTTCCTCAGACTGAAAGGGCTGATCCTGTCTTCAAGAGCTCTCACCAAGCCTCGGACTGCTGCCTTTCCTCAGTGTGGCTGGAAAATCCTGAGACTGACTACTGAATACCCTGTTCCTATCTTTTTATAGCTATCTAATGCTGGGATTAAAGGCATTATCTCTGTTACTATTTTAGACTGACTCAATCTCATGTAGCCCTGGCTGGCCTTGAACTCAGAGATCCATCTGCCTTTGTCTCCTGAGTCCTGGGATTAAGAGTGTGTGCCATCACTGTCCAAATTCTTTGGCTAACTAGCATGGCTGCTTCACTATTTTGATTTCCAGTGGCTTCAATAAATCATAAACAATATATCTCCAAAGGAGTTGAAGTGTGGTAGGCAACCTAGCTATTAGAAAGAGCAAATGTAAACATCCTGAGATCAGTTGGAACTTATGCTCCTGGAGAAATACATGGTACCTGGAGATTTATGTGATAAAGATAGGATGTAAGGTAAAGCTCGAAGAATCCCTCAATGTGACATTAAGCAGGGTATGGTTGTCTGTGGAAATACATTTGAACATTACCTCAGAAAGGATGAGAAGTATTTAAAGGTTAGAAGCAGAGGAGGAACAATATAAGCAAATAAGTAAGGTCAATTAATGGTGTTTGTCTATGGACTGGAACATTCCATGTCAGCAACACAGGAGGTCTGTACTCTGATGGGAGAAGCTGCAAGCACGATGAAGGAAGCCTTAGCCAATGGGCCAAGGAAACATACCCTTTCCCCCTCACTGACAGTCTTGCTGTGTAGTCAAGGCTATCATAAGATTTACAAGTAACCTGATACTAGAAACATTCTTTTTACAGACATATAATTCCGAAATGGTTACTTTAAACTATTGTTTACTTGTTGTTTTTGTTTTTTGTTGTTTTGTTTTTTATTTTTTCCAATTTTACATATCAATCCCAGTTCCTTCTCCCTTCCTCCCATGTCCCCCAACCCCCATTCCTGTCTCACTCCCCACCCACTCCACAGGGAGAATGATGCCTTCCAGGAGGGATCATCAAAATCTGTCAAGTCATTTGGTGTAGGGACTAGGCCCTCCCTCCTGTTTCTAGGCTAAGGGAATATCCCCTCCATGGGGAATGTGCTCCCAAAGTCCTTTCATGGATCAAGGATACATCCTGATCCCACTGTCAGAGGTCCCTTAGACTACCCAGGCTTTCTAACTGAGACCTACATTCAGGGGGTCTGAGTCGGTCCAATGCTGGTTTCCCAGCTATCAGTCTGGGGGGGGGGTCCATGAGCTCCCCGTTGTCCAGGTCAGCTGTCTCTGTGGGTTTCTGTAGCCTGGTCTTGACCCCTTTTCTTATCACTCTCCCCTCTCTGCAACTGGATTCCAGGAGTTCAGCTCAGTGTTTAGGTGAGGATGTCTGCTTCTGTTTCCAACAGCTACTATATGAAGGTTCTAGGATGGCATATAAGTTAGTTATAAATCTCATTATCAGGGAAGGGCATTTAAGGTATGTTTGTTTAGATTGTTAGTTGGGGTCATCCTTATAGGTCTCTGGACATTTCTCTAGAGTCAATTTTCTCTTCAAACCTACAATATATTCCTCTATTTTTTTTTTTTTTTTGCTCTTGTCTATTCATCCTCCAACTCAAAAATTCTACCAGGAAATTCCTACTGCTGATAAACACCTTCAGCAAATTAATAGGATACAATGTTAAGTCAAAAAAGTCAGTAACCTTACTGTATACAGATGATAAAGGGACTGAGAAAGAAATCAAAGAAATACCAACCTTTACAATAACCATAACCAACATAAAGTATCTTGGGGTAATGCAAACCAAACTAGTGAAAGACCTATATAGCAAGAACTTTGTGTCTTTAAAGAAAGGAATTAAAGAAGAAAATGGAAAGATCTCCCATGATCTTGGATAAACATAGTAAAAATGGCAATCTTGCCAAAAGCAAGCTACAGATCTAATTCAATCCCCATCAAAATCCCTGCACAATTCTTCCCTGACCTTGAAAGGATAATATAGAAACTTTATATGGAAAAACAAAAGACCCAGTATAGCCAAAACAACCCTGTACAATAAAGGAACTTCAGGAGTCATCGCCATCCCTGACTTCAAGCTCTACTATAGAACTATATTCCTGAAAACAGCTTGGTATCAGCACAAAAATAGACAGATAGACCAATGGAATGGAATCTAATATCTTGATATTAATCCACACACCTACGAACACCTGAATTTTGACAAAACAGCTAAAATGGAAGGAGTAAAGCATCTTCAACAAATGGTGCTGGCACAGTTGGATTATGGTGTGTAGAAGACTGCAGATAGACCCATGTCTATCGCCATGCACAAAACTCAAAGTTCAAATGGATCAAAGACTTCAACATAAATCCAGCCACACTGAAACTCTTAGAAAAGACAGTGGGGGGTGCCCTTGAACAAATTGGTACAGGAGACTGCTTCCTAACCATAATATCACTTCACAGACACTGAAATCGACAATTAATAAATGGGACCTCCTGAAACTGAGAACCTTCTGTAAGGTAAACGACCCAGTCAACAAGACCAAATGGGACCCCACAGAGTGGGAAAAGATCTTCACCAACCCTACATCTTACAGAGGGCTGATCTCCAAAATATACAAAGAACTCAATAAGGTAGTTATCAAAACACCAAAAACCCGATTAAATAAAGGAATCCAAAATGGCTGAAAGACACTTAAGAAAGTACTCAATATCCTTAGCCAACAGGGAAATGCAAATCAAAACAACTTTGAGATACCATATTACTCCTGTCAGAATGGCTACAATCAGAAACACCAATGACAACTTATACTAGAGAGGATGTAGAGAAAGGGGAACATTCCTACACTGCTGGTAGGAGTGCAAACTTTACAGCCCTTTGGGAGATCGGTATGGCAGTTCCTCAGGAAAATGGGAATCAGTCTACTACAGGACTCAGCAGTTAGGTATATACCCATGCAACAAAGACATCTGTTCAACTATGTTCATAACAGCATTATTTGCAATAGCAAGAATCTTTAAGCAATGTAGATGCCCTTCAACTGAAGAATGGATAAAGAATATGTGGTACATTTACACAATGGAATACTACTCAGCAGAAAAAAAAACAAGCAATGGAATCTTCAAATTTGCAGACAAATGGATGGAACTTGAAGAAACCATCCTGGGTGAGGTAACTCAGTCACAAAAAGAGGAACATATTATGTACTCACTCATATGGATTTTAGACATAAAGCAAAGGGTCACCAGCCTACAATTCACATCGCCAGGGAAACTAGGAAACAAGGAAGAACCTAAGAGTTTCATACAAGGACTATCCTTCATAGAAGGGGAAAGGGACAAGATCTCCTAAGCATATTGGGAGTACGGGGGGAGGGGGAGCAGTGAGTGGAGAGGGAGCTAGGAAAAAGAGAAGTGGAAGAGAGGAGAACATGTAAGACCAGGAAGATTGAGTCAGGGGATGAATAAACTATTGTTTTCATCTGCCTCAAATTATTTGAAGATAATGTGGTCTTATGTGCTGTATTGTAAATAAAATTTTGTATTTTTAAAAGATAAAAGAAAAGTCTTCTGATTAGGAACTATTCCTAGTATTACCGTGTTTAGACTGGTTTGTTTTGTTGGTTTCTGGTAGGGTCCCATGTGACAGGGTGCATTTGACAGTCTGCTTTCACCCAGTCTACTACAGGGCACATTCCACCCTACCTTGATAGTCAGATGGTTCTGTTGCTGTTGTTGTTTATGTCTGAAACTCTGACTTTGACCTTACTTTTCTTTCTTGTTACTCTTGGCATTCTCAATTGAATGTATGTATGTATGTATGTATGTATGTATGTATGTATGTATGTATACACACACACACACACACACACACACACACACACACACACACACACACTTCTTTTTCTAGGCAGGGTTTATCTTTGTAGCCCTGGCTGCCCTGGAACTCACTCTGCACACCAGCCTGTCCTCAAACTCTGATATTAGCCAGTCACTGCCTCCAAAGTGCTGGGATTAAAGGTATGTGATACCATACTTGGCTAGGAAAAAGTGTTTTTAATTTAATAACTTAAATATCAGGAATATATTCAAAGCCTTCACTGAATTGTGTATACTTTTTTTTTTTTTTTTTTTTTTTTTTTTTTTTTTTTTTTACAGACCTATGGGGCATTATTCTGTGAAACAAGTGCCAAAGATGGCTCCAATGTGGTTGAAGCTGTTCTCCATCTTGCTCGGTAATGTTTGCCTTGTATTTGAAAAAATCAAATTTTCACTTACCTGATGGATATGTCAGATTCTTTCCTCATAGCATTCAGTTAAATTATCTGCTGCAGAACATAATTCTGCCTTTCATCATAAGGAAAACAGTACATGTGTCAATTATAAAATCTAATAATTCTGCTTGTCCATTGTGGACACTGACTAAATATTTTTACTACCAAACTACCAAAAGAGATGTAGCTACAGAATTTTTGAACATTTTGCAAGGTATCACTATGAAAGGTAATAATTGACTTATAGTATCAGCACAATAGGCTATTAATAACCTAACTATCTACTAGGAAATTTTGCTGATCAAATAGTGTATATAGAACAATAACAATAAAAGCAAGTTGCATATCATACCAGTTAGAGTAACTGTCTGAATTGCTCACTTTGTAATTATTAAAAGAGGGCAGTGGTGTGGAGAATACATAGTGCTTCACATGTGGATTAGAATAGAATTCATCACTAGAAGGCTTGCATAAAAATGAACATGTCAGTTCTTCAAGTATTGCTGGACATGACAGTACTATATCCCTGATTTTTATTTTCTTCTTGGTGTGTTTCTTGGGTAGGATTTTATTAAGGTGGCTCAAGCTATTGCCATTTGAAAAGGGGGGACCTCAACTAAGACAGTACTCCCACCAGATTGGTCTGTGGGCAAAACTCTGGGCAATTTTTGTTCTTAATAATTGATTTGGTAGCACTGTGCATGCTATCACCCCTACCTATTTGGTCCCCCTGGCCTTGTGGTCCTGGGTTATATAAGAAAACAAGCTGAGCAAGCCCATGGGGGAAAATCAGTGAGTAACATTTCTCCATGGTATCTGCTTTAGTTTCTGCCTCCAGGTCACTGTCTTCTCTCCCAGGATGATCTGTGATGTGGAACTATAAGCTCAAAAACCTTTCTTCTGAAGATTCCTTTTGGTCATGCTGTTTTATCACTGTAATAGTAACCCTAACTAAGATAGAAATTTTTACCAAAGCGTTGACTAGTGCCAGAACAAACCTGACCATATTGTTGGGGTAGATTGTGAAAGGATTATGGAAGTGAACTTTAGGCTAGAAAAATCTTTGATGTTAAAAATGTAATGGGTTATTCTTTGGGAATTTAGAAGAAAAAATTGAGAAATATGAAAAATACAGATGATAGGGGCTTGGATTGTGACATCTCACAGGGAAGTTTTGACTTTGTTAGACTTTATTGCGACTCTTCATGTGATATTTTGAATGGAGAATATGGAATTCTCATCAGCTGGGGTTGAATCATCTATGTTTGCGAAGATACCAGAAGCACTAAATAGAACTCTTGCTTTTCTGACACTATCAACACTGGTCAGCTGGAGCTGATAAATTAGTGGTGACTAATTAGAGACAAGTGCTATTAAGGTGAAATCTTTGTATTTGCTCAGGATTGGCACACAAAGCTCTGGTCCAAAGGCAGAGTCAGGCTGTATTTTTACACTGGTAGCCAAACTTGGTAATGTCTCCTAAGTGGTACTGGTTTCCAAGGCATGAAAAAGTCATGGAGAGTAGTTGAGGCTTACTATTGTGAGAGGCCAAGTGAGGACATTGGAAAAGGTACAGCCTTAGTTGCAGTAGAATCCCCAGGATGGAAGGGGTCAGGGGGAGAATTGAAGCTCAGTACCATTTGGCAGGGCAGAGTCCCCAAAGGAAGTCCAGGAGAGTCTATTGGTGCAAATGAAACCCAGTTGTAGAGACTCAGCATTTTGGAGATGCTAATACTACAGGAAGGCCATCAAATTCAGAAGCAGCTTCAGCCTGTAGTTGGCCTTAGCCTATGAGTCCCACTGTGTCTGCGATAGAGGGTAGACTGGACCCATGCCTTTGAAGCTCAAATAAATGGGTCTCATAAATCAAACACTGAACTTTTCATATGATTGAACTGTGATTTGCTTTGATCTTCTATGTTGTAGTATGGAGGTATGTACATTCTTTTTTAGTTTACAGGATTCCACAGTTAAGAGACTTTGGAACTTTAAAGATACTTTTGGTATTTTAGAGAAACTTTGAATTTTGAAATTTGTGTTAGAGAGGCTTAACTTTAGAAGTATTTGAATTTAAAGATTTCAGAATTTTAAAATCTGTTTTAAAATCTGGAATGTTTTCTATTTTAATATTAACATTGATATCTTGAAAATGAACAAAAAATGAAAGGTTATAATTTAACAGTAGTGTGTTTGTGTTTAAATTTGAGAACAGTCAATTGTCCTCATTAGTTTTTTTGTCAACTTGACACAAGATACACTTACCTGGGAAGAGAATAGCACAATCAAGAGAATGCCTTCAAAGACTGCCTGAGAAGTAAGCATGTGGAGTGTTGTCTTTATTAGTGACTGATGTGAGAGAGCACAGCTCACTGTATGTGATGCTACTTCTGGGCAAGTGGTCCTGTGGTAGATAAGGAAGCAGGTTGAGAAAACAATGGGGTGCAAGCCAGTAAGCAGTGTTTCTCTGTGGCTCCTGCTTTGTTTTCTACTTCGAGGTTCCTCCCCTAACATCTTTGGATGGTAGACTGAGGTGTGGAATTGTAAGCTAAAATAATTCCTTTCCTCCCCAAGTTACACTTGGTCATGTTTTTTTTTTATAATAGTGATGGAAACTTTAATTAAGACAGTCTGCCACTAATGGAAGCATGATTCCTTGCAGTTATAAAGGAATTGTGTATGTATTAAAAGGGGACCCCCCCAACAAAATCTAAATAAGGACAGTGCTCTCTAATTACAAACAAATGCAGTTTTCTGCATGCAGTTCTTTCTCTGATGGTGTTTGAATGTGTGTACGAATCATCAGTGTGAAAACTGACCAATAGTTTTCCTTGCCACATTTTAATTAGTGTCATGGGTTTGTAGTACCTAGTAAGTCAGACTCTGGTCACCAAATGTTTGGAGTTTGGTCTAGGAGGAGATGAGTATCATGATTTGAAATAATGAGTAAACAGGCCTCAGATCTTCCATAGGTCAAAAATCATCTCTTTGTGGTAAGGGACAGCAGGTATCCTGGCCTCAGACTTGGTGTCATTGAACAGTTTTGTCTCATGGCCTCACTTCACCTACACCTCTACTTGAATTCATTTGTGTTTTGCAAATTTATAATAATTTATAGATACAGCAAACTTTCTCTCTAGTATCATCCAAGTTCTCTTAGATCTTAGCCTTTGTGCATTTTGTTTTTGTACCTGGGATTCCTGCAGAAGTGGCAGCAGGTGAATGCTACTTTTTTTTTTTTTTTTTGTAAAGTTAACTTAATATTTTTAAGAGCATTTCATACTCAAATACTTTTTGACTATTTCCACTATTCCCTCTCCCTTCTCCAACTCCTCCCATGTCCTCCCAACTCCCTCTCAAATCCATGTCTTTTTAGTTGTTTACACACATACACACACATACACACACATACACACACACACAGACTCACACACAGACACACACACACACAGGCACACACACAGACACACACACACACACACCTCTACTGACCCCTTTTAATGTTGTTCATAGTGTAGACATATTTAGGATTAACCACTAGAGTTTGTATGACTTATCGTGGAGCTCATCTCAAGATGAAGCACTATAGACAATCAGTAGCTTCTGAGATGGGATCCCTGAGATGGGATCCCTGAGTGCTTTTAAGAGGCTGTAAGTTAATTTTCTATTGCTGTGGTAAAGCACCTTGACAAAGGCAACTTGTAGAAGGAAGAGTTTTAGAGGGCTTATGGTCCAGAGTTTAAGAGTCCATTATCCTCATGACAACAGAGATGTGTGGCAGCAGGTAGGCATGCTGACTGAAAATGGAAATAGATCTGAGGACTCTTCTGTCAAATCGTAAAGTGGTAGCAGAGAGCATACATGGAATGACACCCAGGTTTTGAAACCTCAAAGTCTGCTCAGGGTGACATTCTCCAGCAAGGTCATACATTCTAAACTTACCTAAACCGTCCTACCATCTGGGGACTGCTTGAGCAGGTGGGGGATATTTAATTCAAACAGCTACAGGGTTTCCCCCACCCAGTGTCAGCATCTCCTAAAAGCATCTTTCTTCCTAGAAGACCCTAAAAAGGTGGATTAAGCACAAAACTGTGACTCTGTAATTATTTATCTAGATATCTCTCTCTCCTTCTGAGTCTTGTCGCTGACAGCCTATAAATTAGGAAGGCACAAATAAGACATTTGTTTAATGGTAGAATTATCAAGGCTTTGTACTTGGAAACTGTTAATTTTATATTGTCCCTGTAATTAATCTCCACAGGTAAGAAGTCAAATAGCTTACTTTTGTTGTAATCTTTTTCTCCCACCTTCCAGAGAAGTGAAGAAAAGGACAGAGGATGATGATAGCAGATCCATTACTAGTCTCGTTGGGTCCACGTCCAGAAAGTCACTGCAAATGAAGAACTGTTGCAATGGCTAAACACGGGCTGTCTTCAGCTCATAAAATCCTTGTTTCTAGAATACTGATTGTGGGACACTGGCTCTCAATGGAGTGTGCATCATACAACACTAGCCTATGAAGAAATATTCCCTGGCAAATTGAGCTGTACTTCCTGTTCTCAGAAACCTCAGGCTTTCTTTCTTTCTTTCTTTCTTTTTTTTTTTTTTTTTTTTTTTTTTTTTTTGTTTTCCTTAGTGAGCTATTTGTGATGTTTGACCTCTGTAGATCTCTAAGAGAAAATGTTTTTTAATATGATATGATAAAATAAAATTATATTCTCAGACCAAAATTATTTAGAACTCACTGATAAAATTGCTTCATAAGAAAATGGACATTGTAGTTGACCTGTGACAGTGTTTACTTAAAATTTGGACATAAAGGCATAGAACTTTGTTTTATACAATTCAGTGCTTTAATACAAAGAACAATGTGACTAGAAGTATTTTATGTATTGCAACTTTAAATTTTGGGTGGTATAAGATATCATGGTTATTTTCATTTGGCAAAACAGCTTTGCTGCTCCGAAGCCCAATAATGTTAGGCAGTCCAGGCTACATTAGATCTCTTCCCCTCTTCAAAACAAGGAAGTTAGCTTCCAGTGACTCTTGCATTCTGGAGCATTTTGAGGAGCATGAAGGGCACAGTGGTTCATAGTTACTAAGAGCCCTGCCAAACATACCTTTTGTTACTAAGGTATTGATTTATCAAATTTCTGAAGTGAGAATAGAATTGAAGAAATTGGGAATATTTTAGACTCCCATTATACAAAAAAAATTTTGATAACATACAGTATGTTTGAAAAAAATGTATGCAATAAATACAATTTGAAGAGTACTTATGAATTCTGTGGTTTAAGTTGTATGTGAAAACTTTAATGAAGATATATATAACACATACAACAATGCCACAAAAATATATTCTAACTACTGGCTTCTAGAAGCTGAGGGGAATTGGCACTAATGGCCAATGGGCACATACTTTCTTAGGAGAACGGTCACAGTTTACCAACATCAATTTGGAAGTAGTAGTATCATAATTTTGAATATGGTAAAAGCTACCAAACTTTGTATTTGGAAAGCATAAGTTTTATGAATGTGAACATGTCTCATAGAAAATACAGTATCTCTAATATTTTAACAAATGAATATATCATTGGTATTTCACATTGAATTGTGATTTAGAGCCTTATCTGTAGCATATTGCCAGTTCCTCAGTCCCTAACTTCAAATGTTAGCTTCCTCCTTAATGAAAAATGGGAGATTATTACTAGGCATGACATTGGAAAGTGCTGTATTTAAAAGAACTTTGCCTTTAAAATGGTGAATCTGTTTTTTATATATGTGACTTATGACCACTCACTACCTAGGACCTGAGTAGTCTTGCTTTTCTCCTGGAACTTACAGTGCCTCCCACTCCTCCTGACCAAAATGTCTTAAGGGACAAAGGTCTCACTATCTGATCCAGGATCAACCAGAAAATACATTTCCAGAACCAATTAGTTTATTCTTAGCAAGAGATTTAAATATCTTGGTTTATACTGGTATAGGCTTTGAGTAGCTTACCCAGAACATAGTACCAGTTACTTATGTAAATTTTATTATGTATGCTCAAACATTTCTTTTTATTGAAGTAAAACAATTCCTTGGGCCGGCAAGGTGTCTCAGGAAGTAAAAGTACTTGTTGCCCAAGCTTGCCAACCCAAACTCCATGTGTGAATTCACAGTGGAAGGGGAGAATGGCTTCCTGATAGTGGTTCCTTGACCTTCGCACTTGTGTGCCATAGTGACTAAATAATACATGTGCACACAAAGAAAGAGCAATAGATACTTCCTTTTAAACAACGCTTCCTTTTAACAATGCCTTTTGAGCTTGATTTTTGTTATCAAACTTGTAATTGTTTGAGCTTCATTTTTTTTTTTTTTTCCTAACTGGGAATTGAATTGGTATAGTTATACACAAAAGCCAAATATGTTATCCCAACTGAAGGTCTCTGGGATTGTAACAAGAAAACTAAATCTTCAGTAACTACATACAAATAGCTACTTTATGTTTAATGGTTTGCAGCCCAGGTAATGGGTTACATTTCTTATTTAAAAAAAAAAAAAAAGAATTCTTTGTTAGAAATTGACACAGATGGCAGGGAGGAGTAGTGATGAGTTTTGTAACATGTGATACAGTAGTTAAGTTTTACCTTACAAAGTGGGGATCCCAGACAAGGCTGAATCTTACATATTAATACATGGCACATGTGTAGTACTCGCTAAACAGACTGTTAGAGTTCTCTTTGTTCTCATGTTATTTCCCTCATATGTTGTTTTGTTTTCTACACTCTGTTAAAAAAAGTGTATCGTTAATGCAGAAGTTTTACCTTGGGTTTTGTCTCTAGATGTGGGGTCAGAACAGCTGTGTTGACCAGAAAGTTGTCTAGGTAACTTGAATGACAAGCCAACATTTTCAATGTTCTGAATATAAAATATTCAAATTAGAGGTTTCTATCTCTGCTTAAGGAAAAACTAATTAAAACTACTTTTAGCTGACTTGGTAGTAGACTTTATTTTGATTTTTTTCAAAAGTGTTCCCAAATTTAAAGACTATTTTAAATAAGGACAAAATATTGTTTTCAGCTTAAAATTTTTTTGATGGGTTCACACATATCTTTCAAGTAAGTTAACCTTGCATCCATTTTTCCTTAAAAAACTTTCAAAATCATAATAATACTATATACATATTTTAAATGCACTTTAACCCTTTGGATAATATTTTAATTTCTTTATGGAAAGTAATATTGGAAAGTAGGCGTTTTTTCACTGTTACCTGTCAGGCCTGTTCATTTCATAATTTATTTTTCTACTTGTTGCTGTATATGATATTTTACATTTGATTATTTAATAGTAGGTATAATTTAAATGAATATAGACTGTCCTTCCTCCTCTAAAGATAAAGTTAAGGTTAAGGGTTAAGATTTTCTTTCATATTTATACATTGATTAGCCTTAGAATATTGTTTTTTAGGCTTTTCTTGTATATATGTGTAAGAAATTATGTACGTGTATGGCAAGTAAGCAACTGAGAACTGAGTCACTGTTATATGATTTTGATTTATATGGTTTATATTTTTCATCGTTTGAGCTGTTTCATTTATACTGTTTATATATTTTCAAACCATTGATACCACAAAGTATAATTGCATAGCCATGCAAATATCCAAGATCCATAAAATCTGTGCCTTGTAAATGCAATAAAGTGTTCTTATTTTGGCCCTTGGGCAGTTTCCTGAGCTTTCCTGTGGGTATTCAGAAGCAGCTGATTCCACAGTGTCTACAAGAGACAGTTCTTCTGCAACACTTGTCTTTTTGGGACATGCTATTCCTGCAGTGGGAGAAAAAAAAATGAATGAGTGTGTGGCAGTTGGTACTTCAGTAGAGCGTAACAGGAAGGTCATTGAGGACACTCGACCAGTAATGGGACTTTTGTAATAGAATTACTGGATGTACTATATCCATTATTTTTTTAACAATTGGAGAATTTCTTATATTGCACTGTATTTACATTTCTATTCCACCTGTATTCTCTGGGACACCCCTACCATCATGTCCTCTCCACTTCTTACCAACTTTCATGGTCTCTTTTATTTTAATTGTTTTTACACACAAACACTTCTGCTGAGTTTGTATAGTGTTGCTTGTCTGTATATAAAGTTTTAGTGCTGAACACTTGGTATTGGATAACTGTTCAGGTTACTCATCTCTTGACAAGAATAAACCTCCCTTTTTTCAGCAGATATTGTCTACAGCTTTTAATCTATGGTTATGTCCTTGTGAGCTTTCCCCCATCCATATTGGGATGTCGACTGATGGTATCATTGTGCCAATTTTGTTCAGATGATCATGACATTAATATTTAATGGGTAGTATTTCCTGTCATATCTTGAAAACACAATCTTGTAGCAGACAACCTGGACCCCTAGCTTTTAGAATTCTTCGAACCCTCTTCTGAAATGTTCTTTGAACCTCATGTGTAAGGCTTTAGTTATATATGTATCGATTGGGAATGAGCTGTTTTCTGCATTTTGCCATATTGTATACTTTTATCATGGTTTCTATTTGCTGTGAAAAGAAGCTTCTTTGATGAAGGATGAAATATATACACCACAGACACACAAGCACACACACATATGTATAAACATAATACACATACACATACATATTCAGTGAATATAAGGATAGGTATTTAAAATGGAGTTGGAAATTACCCCTAGATATAAGTGCCGTTATTGCATTCTTGAGTATACTTGCTGTGATGGTCATTGTTGATGGTCTTTAGGCTATATAGGATTTTCATTGCTTTTATCCCTTGACCATTTTCATAGCAACATTGGATATCCTTAGGACTGGTCCTCAGGAATAAGGCTTCAACATCAGTTCCTGATGAATTCCTCCAAATCCTGTGTTTGAGGAGGTCATAAAAAAAATCAGATCTCCTGGAGTCATATATGGTTGTAAGCTGCCATGTGGGTCCTGGGAAACCAATGTTCAACAATAGCAATAAGTGAACTTAATCATTGTACTAAACCATCCCTCCATCCCTCCAGTCCCAGATAGCTTGTATAGCTTTGTTGTTGTTGTTTTTGTTTTTTTGTTTGTTTTGTCTGAAGTTCTGGAAGGCAACCAAATGCAATAGCAATTTAGACTTACCAGAAATTTTAAGGGAAGTTTCCTATGCTTGACACAGGGGATTTTATAATATAGTCTATGGCTGGGGGGGGGGCACTGTCAGCCCACATGATAAATTTCATTAAGAACACTATACATGCAAATGTATATATCTATGTAATTTAAAATAAACATAAAATAACTCTGACTCTAGCTTTTGCAATCATCATCTCTCTTTATTTCCCCTCCCTCTCCCTTAGTATTGACCTCCTCCCAGATAACATGTACTGCCCCATTGCCCCTCATAGCACCTGTGTCCTGCTATTCCTCTCTCTTGAGCTCCTTTTGCACCTTGCCCTCCCCATTGGCATCTACTTAATTTCCTGGTTTCTATGGTTACTCTCTGTTGTATGCTCACATGGAAAGAGTACAAGTTAGGTCTACAAACAAGAAAGAACACACAGTGTTTGTCTTTCCAGGTCT